TTTGAGCATCTAGGAAGTGCTCTGTACTTCAGAACAATTATGATTAGTCACAGGAGTTATTTTTTATTTATGTGGGCTGTTATTCCTGTGGCACTGATAGATAGGTAATATTAATAAACAACGAGAATAGCAAATACTTCTTGAGCTTTTTTCACATTTCAGGCACAGAAGCACTTTTCAAGTATTTGCTCCTTTAATCCTCCTCACAGTCTTGGGAAGTAGAAACTAGGATTACTCCCATTTTACAGATAAGGAAACTCAGGCACAGAGAGGTTTAAGTATTTTGCCCGAGATCATGGATCTAGTAAATGCTGAAACAAGGGCTTGAATCTAGGCAGTCTAGCTCTGGACAGAGTGTACATTTGGATCCTTACTACTCTCTACTCTCTGCTCTCTACAAATGGTACAAAAACAGTTTTCTGTCCATGACATTTGTTGTTGGCATCAGTTTTGATATTTTCAAAACTGGAACCACACCAGGGTTGGCCATAAAAAGGCCCTTCTTTCACTAGGACCATGGTCCCACGCAAAGGGATCTTGGTCCCTTGGTCTCTTTGCTGTGCCCTCTGCCATGCTCCCTCTCTGTGCAGCCCTTGGGATTAATGAGGAGTGAAATAGAACTCCGAGTGTGGAAAAAGGATGTTGAGCAAAGGAAAGCAAGGCAAAGAGGTGGGAAAAGTTAAAAATATTTAAGTTCAAAAAGTGATCATGGAGGTTTTAGTTGATTGCTGCTGTGTTCTCGATGCTTGGTGGATGCCTTGAACTTCAAGGAGCATACTGTGTACTTGGAAGGAGAGGTCAGGTACACAAACGAAAGAAGTCAGACAGCCATGGGGAGTACCCATGGGAGTGGGCAGGTAGGGGAGAAATTTAGAAGCTTAAACTTGGCAGGGGAAAGGAGGCAGGGAAAGGAGGAAGGGAGCCCGTGGCCTGGGATGCCCAGTAAATGAAAAATTGCCACAAATTTACAACCAACCAACCAACAAACAAAAGCGTGCGTGGGTGGCTCAGTCGGTTAGGTGTCCCACTTCTGCTCATGTCATGATCTCCCAGTTCACCAGTTGGAGCCCGGCATCAGACTCTATGCTGACAGTAAAGAAGCTGGAGCCTGCTTCAGATTTTGTTGTCTTCTTCTCTCTCTGCCCTTCCCCTGCTCATGCTCTGTCTCTCTCTTTCTCAAAATTTAAAAATTTTTTAAAAATTAAAATCAAGATCTAGGCTTTTGGGAGCAATCATCATTATTGTCAGAAAGAAATGGCACCAGGGTAAAACAAATTTCATTCTATAACTGTTTATTAGAGTGCCTTCCAAGCACAAGGCACTAAACTAAACACTGGGGGTTCAAATTTAAGAGTGAATTCCAGCCCCAAAATGATAGGAAAAAGGTTAAAGAGGACCTAGGTCCTTAAAATGAGTTTAAGCTTCAATTAGTCCAGTGACTTTAAGTGTCCAGTCCCATATAAATCACATCCTAGACCACTAAGTACATTTAGGAATGGGCCTAAGATGTTCTTGGAAATCTTTGAGGAATTATGAAAGGTAGTGGAAGTGGTGGAAAGTGGGCAGATGTTTGGTTTTCAAAATGGTACTAACTTGTATAGAGTACTCACCTCTAGTAGGCACTGTTCTAAGCCCTTCACATGTATTATCTCATTTAATCCTCACCACACCTCTAGGAAGTAGGTGTTATTTTTGTCCTCCTTTTATTATTGAGGAAACTGAGTCATAGGTAGGTTAGATAACTTGCCCAAGATGAAACTGCTAGCACGTGCAGGAGCCAGGGTGCTATGGTCTGAATATTTGTGTCCCCTGTCCCCCAAATTCATATGTTGATTTCTTAACCCCCAAAGATGATAATGTTAGAAGATGGGACTTTGGGAGATGTTACATCCATGAGATGGAGCCCACAATGGGACTTGCGTCTTATAAAAGAGGTCCTAGAGAGATCCCTCCCTGTCTACTATGAAAGGCCACAGTGAGAAGGTATGTTGCTGAACAAAAAAGAGGGCCCTCACCAGAAGATGCCCATGCTGGTGCCTTGATCTTGGGCTTCTCAGCTTCTAGAACTGTGAGCAGTAAATCTGCCCAGTTGGTGGTATTTTGTTATAGCAGTCCAAAAAGACTAAGACAGGGGCGCCTGGGTGGCTTAGTCGGTTAAGCGTCCGACTTTCGCTTAGGTCATGATCTCGCGGTTCGTGGGTTCGAGCCCCGCATCGGGCTCTGTGCTGACTGCCAGCTCAGAGCCTGAAGCCTGTTTCAGTCTGTGACTCCCTCTCTCTCTGACTCTCCCCTGCTCATGCTGTCTCTCTCTCTTTCTCCTAGAAATAAATAAAACATTTAAAAAAAAAAAAAAAGGACTAAGACAGAGGCTTGATACTGAGAAGTGGGGGTGCTACTCTAACAAATACCTAAAAATGTGGAAGTGGCTTTAGAACTGGGGAATGGGCAGAGGCCGGAGAGGCATGCTAGAGAAAGCCAACACTGCCATGAACGGATTGTTAAGGCGATTCTTGGGAAGGATCAGAAGGAGAGAGCTGTACAGAGCTCAATCTCTGTAGGTTACCTAAGTGGTAAGGAACAGAACGTGGATAGAAATATGGAGATTAAAAGTCACCCTGACTAGGTCCCAGACGGAGAGGAGGGACACGTTAATTAGAAACTGGAGGAAAAGAGATCCTTGATAGAAGTGTCAAAGAGCTTGGCTGAATTGTGTTTGGATCCTAGTGGTTGGAGGAAGGTAGAATTTGCGAGTGATGAGATTGGATATTTGGGGCTCACATGTGGAGCTCAAACTTACTACCCCAGGATGAAGAGTTGGCATGCTCTATGGATTGAGCCAGTCAGGTGGCCCATCTGGCTGAAGAAATTTCTTTTTTTTTTTTTCTTTTTTTTTTAATGTTTTATTTATTTCTAGGAGAGAGAGAGAGAGAGAGACAGCGTGAGCAGGGGAGGGTCAGAGAGAGAGGGAGATACAGACTCTGAAACAGGCTCCAGGCTCTGAGCTGGCAGTCAGCATAGAGCCCGATGCGGGGCTCGAACCCACGAGCCGCGAGATCATGACCTAAGCGAAAGTCGGACGCTTAACCGACTAAGCCACCCAGGCGCCCCTGGCTGAAGAAATTTCTATGCAAAGTATCTAGGAGACAGCCTGGTTTCTTTGAATACTTTTAGTAAAATGCAAGAAGAGAGAAATGATTAAAAGGTGGAACTGTTTTTGTTTTTAATTTTTTTAACATTTATTTATATTTTTGGGAGACAGAGAAAGAAAAAGCACGAGCAGGGGAGGGGCAGAGAGAGAGGGAGACACAGAATCTGAAGCAGGTTCCAGGCTCTGAGCTGTCAGCACAGAGCCTGATGTGGGGTTCAAACTCTTGGGACAGAGATCATGACTTGAGCTGAAGTTGGCTTCTTAACCAGTTGAGCCACCCAGTCATCCCTAAAGGTGGAATTGTTAATCAAAAAGGATGCAGAACAAAAAACTTGGAAAAATTGGGGCACCTGGATGGCTCAGTCAGTTAAGCATCCGACTTCGGCTCAGGTCATGATCTCACGGTTCATGGGTTCGATCCCTGCTTCGGGCTCTGTGCTGACAGCTAGCTCAGAGCCTGGAGCCTGCTTCAGATTCTGTATCTCCCTCTCTCTATGACTCCTCTGCTCATGCTGTTTCTCTCTCTCTTTCAGAAATAAATAAAACAAAATTTTTTTTTAATTTGGAAAACTCATATCACGATCTAATATTCTATATATTTTACTCATTTATCATGTTTATTGACTGTTCCTCCCACAAGAATGTAAGTGCCATGGGGCAGGGATCTATTTGTTTCCTGCTATATCCCCAGTGCCAAAAACAATATCTGACACAAAGTAGGTATTCAACAAATGTTAATGAATAAATCAATGACTGCCAGCCATAAGCATCACATAGATTATGTCTTTTAATTCGCTCAACTACCCTTTCAATTATTAGCCCCACTTTATCTTATTTATTTATTTTATTAAACATTTTTAAAAATGTTTTTATTTATTTCTGAGAGAGAGACAGCATGAGCAGGGGAGGGTCAGAGAGAGGGAGACACAGAACCTGAAACAGGCTTCAGGCTCTGAGCTAGCTGTCAGCACAGAGCCCAAAGCAGGGCTCGAACCCATGAACCGTGAGATCATGACCTGAGCCAAAGTTGGCCGCCCAACTGACTGAGCCACCCAGGCGCCCCTATTTTATTTTTTTAGCCCCATTTTAAAGATGAGGAATTTGAAGCTCAGGAACATTGCATAATTGGGGCCACCCCACTAGTAAGTTGTGAAGACTGGATTCAAACTTGGATTGTGTAACTCCAGAGCCCTTGCTCCTAACCATTAAGTGATACTGCCTCTCTATGTGCTGGCAGCTATGTTTTAAGACTGAAACAATGGGGGTGGCTGCCTGGCTCAGTCGGTGGAGGACGCGACTCTTGACCTCCAGGTTGTGAGTTCTAGCCCCATGTTGAGTGTAGACATTACCTGAGAATCAATCTAGAGGAGGGTGTTCCGAATGATGAGGAGTCTCTGAGTCATGTCATATGATAAGCAGTTTATGGAACTAGAAAGGCTTTTCACCTAAAGAAAAGCTTCACTTGAGTGAGGGTTTGAATGTATGAAAATTAGATCCACATATTTGAAGAGCTATAGCATGGAACAAGAATTTGTTTGTTCTGTACAGTCTGAAGGGTAGAGGCTGGAATTAACAGAGCAAATAAAGAAAGTCAATCGACTCCCTGCTTTTGAGGTATAGAAGCTGGTAGTACCTGTAGGGTTGATGCTGAGGGACAGATGTCCTGGGCCTTCAGGGTTCCGTGGCAACTCTGTGACTCATGAATTTCAGGATGGCATAACTTCCCAGAAAACAAGGGCAAAGAAGCTTCTAGAAACAAGTGTGTTCGATGCTAATATGAAGCCAAGAGAGTGAAAGCACAGAAAAGGCCTGGGGTGTGAAGAAAGAGGTCACAAGGGCCCTTTAAGGAAAAGTTACAACAATCAATTCGGCAGCACTTATACTACAATTGGAACAATACAGAGATGATTACATGGCCCCTGTGTAAAGATGACACACGGATTCATGCAGCATTCCATATTTTATTGTACATTTAAAACAAATACTGTGTTTAGCATGTATGTTAATTAAACTTCAATTTTTTTAATGCTCATTTTTTTTAAGTTTATTTATTTATTTTTAGAGAAAGAGAGAGTGTGAGCTAGCAGGGGATGGGAAGAGAAGGAGGGAGAGAGAGAATCCCAAGCTGGCTCTGCACTGGCAGAGCCCCACAAAGGGCTTAAGTTCACGAACTGAACCATGAGATCATGACTTGAGCCAAAGTTGGATGTTTAACCGACTAAGCCACCCAGGTGCCCCTAAATTTCTTTTTTTTTTTTTTTTTTGGAGAAGTTTCACTAAATGCCTGGGTTGGGCTACAGATGGGGAGGTTGAATTAAAAAGAAAAGACAGGTGGGGCACCTGGCTGGCTCAGAAGAACGTGCCACTCTTGACCTTGGGGGTCATGAGACTGAACCCCATGTTGGGTGTAGATATTACTTAAGTGAATAAATAAAAAAACTTTAAAAAGGAGAGCCTAGGTGGCTCATTCGACTGAGTGACTCCGACTCTTCATTTCAGCCCAGGTCATCATCTCAAGGTTTATGAGTTTGAGCCCTGAGTCCACACTGACACTGGAGAGCCTGTTTGGGATTTAGGATTCTCTCTCTTGTCTTCCCTCTCTGCCCCTCCCCCATGCTCATTCTCTCTCTCTCCCTTAAAATAAATATATAAACTTAAAAAAAAAACTAAAGAAAGAAGAAATGACTGGTGAAGGAATGCAGACAGCTGTTGAAACACATTGGCTTGACAGAAAAGGGGGATAGGAGGGAAACCATTCAAGACTGTGGTAGTGTCCAGGAGAGAGCTTTTCAAGATGTGGAAACTTCTGTGTTTGAAGGGAGTAGGGATTAAAGATCCTGCCATATGGTTATAGGAGCAAGTTTCCTTGTGCTTTGGAAAGAATGAGATGCGAGTTTCGAGAGACATCTCAGAGATTTGAGAGAAACCTCAGTCATTTCCATTTTGATAGATTACAAAATTAAATACTAAGATAAATGGATTTAAAAAAAAGATAGATGGTTTTATCTTTTAAAACCTGGGTGGCTCAGTCAGTTGAGCATCTGACTTCAGCTCAGGTCATAATCTCGTGGGTGAATTTGAGCCCCACATCAGGTTCACTGCTGTCAGCCTGTCGGCGCAGAGCCCACTTTGGGTCTTCTGTCCCTCTCTCTCTGCCTCTCCCTCACTTGTGCTCTCCTAAAAATAAATATATATATATATAAAAAAAAAAGATAGATGGTTTTGAAAATATTTAGTATATTTTATTTATTTATTAAAAATTTACTTTTTAAGTAATCTCTGCACCCAACATGGGGCTTGACCTTACAACCCTGAGATCAAGAGTCCAGGTTCTAATGACTGAGCTGCTCCAATATTTAGTGTATTTTAAATATTTCTATTTAACAAATAAAAACTTTTTTTTAATAGTTTATTTATTTTGAGAGGTAGTGAGAGACACAAAGCACAGATGGGGCACAGAGAGAGGGAAAGAGAGAAGTCCAAGCAGGCCACGTACTGCTAGCGAGGAGCCCACCTGAGTAATGTCAGACGCCTAACTGACTGAGCCACCCAGGCCTCCCAACAAATGAAAACTCTTAGCACGAACAAAGCAATAATATAGTGATAGTCACAAAATGCCTACAGGCATTTATATATTTTTATTTTATTTTAGGCATTAAAAAATGATATTTGTTTATTTAGAAAGAGAGAGAGAAAGAGACAATCCCAAGCAGGCTCTGCTCTGTCAGTGCAGAGCCCATTTGGGGGGGGCCCTGGGTGGGGGGAATGCATCGCATCAACCATGGGATCCTGACCTGAGCGGAAGAGTTGGAAGCTTAACCGACTGAGCCACCCAGGTGCTTCCAGAACGTATTTTTTATGTTCAGAATTAAAGAGCCTTGTAAATGTGAGACTGGGATTAAAAGCTCCTCCTGGGGTTGAGATGAGGTTAGGAGGATGGGTGCAGGTTACAGGCACCCCAAGAGGTGTGGGCATGATCTCCAAAGGGCTCAGAGAAGTGACACGGAAATGCCCATCCTTGTATAAAGGAGTCACAGAGGAGGCCAGCTTGCCTTGACCCAAAGGAGTTCTGTCAAAGCATTCTGAGGTCTGAGTCCTGGAGACCTCAGGCATCAGTGTCTGGGGCAACCACAGGGGGGCAGCGTGCCAACTCGGAGAAGCTCCCAGAGGGCATCAAAGTGCCCCCTTACTTCCTCCCGCAGCCGCTCCACTCCACCCCCTCTTCCTTCCCGGAGTTATTCGAGGGCTGCCCACCAACCCCTCCCACCCCCCCAGGGACAGCTGAGGGAAGCTGACTTTTTCCTCTCTGCAGCTGGAAGACTCAGGCTTGTCATCCTGTTGCGCCCATAGTCCCGCCCCTTTAAGTACAGGTGGCCTGGGTGGAAACATGGAAAGTGGAAAGGGGGAAGGAACAGGCTGGCAGTATCCATGGCCCTTGTAGGGGGGTGGTGTGGGGCGGGGGTAGCTTGGCCCCTGCGTCTCTCAGGCATGGTTTGTAGTGCCAACACCCAGCACAAGGGGGTGCTATCGCCCCACAAACCCTGCCTGGCTGGTCTCTGCAGTGGAGGGGGTGTGGCCAACCGGAGAGTGGGGTGGGTGTTTTTTTGCGCCCTTTGTCCAGCTTTCCTCCGCTCAGAATTTATAAGCAGTTTTGTGCAGGCAAGTAGTGGGGGGCTCTGGAGCACAGGCCGTAGAGTAGAGACTTTGTGGGACAATTGGCAGGAGCTTAGAGAAGTGTGGGGAGAAGAGACCTTTGTGTGGACCTTTCAGGTCAGGGTCCCGGTGCAGGCCAGACTGAGGATGCAGTCTGCGCATTGCTATTACCAGGGGCGCCTGGTGGCTCAGTCGGAAAAGCATGCAGCTCTGGATCTTAGAGCCCTGAATTCAAGCCCCACGTTGGGTGTAGGGATTACTTAAATATATAAAATTTGAAAAAGAAAAAAAAGAATTGGAATTTCCAGAAGAGCTGTGTTAACCCAGCCCAACACTGACTACATTAAAGGCAGGCTGTGGGGGGACTCATGAGGAGGCCATAGAGACAAAGTAGTTGTTTTGGAGTTATGAACCCATTACCTTGATGTATTTTTGTTTTTTCTTTTTAACTTTCTAAAGTTTGGGGAGAAATATATGGAAAGTTCATAAAATGTACTAAACGTACACGTACGGCTCAGTGATTTTGTAACTTATGTGTACGTGATACTTGTATAGATGTGTGTATAGTGCTTACAGATGCACCGCTAGAGCCATTGACTTGTATATTTCCACAACTTCCACAGGCCATTTAAGCCAACAAACTTTTATTAAGGGATCCTGCATGCCTCGCACCATCCTACTCCTTTATAAGGAAGTGAGGACAAGCATGTTTGTCAGGTGGCTGTGATGGGGTCAGTATTATCATGAATCATAGTCATTCCCTGACTGACCTGTCCCATCAGTGCCTTGGAGGGCGATGGCAGCCTGTGTGAGCTACTTGGAGGGACCATATTTTTGGAATCCAAGGTGGGATGAACTGTCTGCTGTGTCTGAATATACAAACTCACAGAACCTCTGGAAGGTATTATTGGATCCAGGATATATGGTCAGGGCAGCCACGTTCCTAGCACAGAGCCAGACACTGAGGGGCCCAGGAGAGCATTTTTGGGAATTGATTTTGCTCTCTGGCCTGGTGCTACATGTCTCTGGAAGCCAAGCAAAGGGTGACGTCTTTGACCACAGGCTGGATCAAAATGAGCTGGAGCTTGTCGCGTGTGTGTGAATCTGCTAGGCCTTCTGAGAGGCACCAGTCTTTTCCCTTCCTTTGTGGTCATCCTGGCCTTGCCCCACCCACAGCCCATCCTGCCCCAGATCAGGGAAGTGCCCCTATTGGGAAGTGAAGTGTGTGAGCAGGATGTGACCCAATGGTGAGGCAGCTCCCAGACCTGGTCTGGTCCCTGAGTCAATGAGCTACTTCAGGCACTCAAAGGAAGTCCTTCCGCCAATTCACTGCAGTGTAGACACCTCTGCTGTCCCTTCTACTGCCCCTCCCCACCCAGGTGTGGGTCTTTGGGGGCGGGAAGCTGGTCTCCTCCTCCCCTAAGCCACAACGGGCACATTGGAGAAATGAGGCGCCCTGAAGGAGTTGGGAAGCTGCCTGGGCATGGAGGCAGTGGAAGTTGCTCCCTTAGGGTGTGGTGACAGCTCTACTCTTGGGGGCCCAATCCTGCTGTAGAGCCCCTGGGTCCAGGACTGGTGAGGGACAGAGGAGGACAGAGGGGGGGCTGGGCCTGGCTGGGGAACACTGGCCTGGAAGGCACTCAGCCTTCGGCCCTGGGCCAGCGTGGAAAGTATGTGTGTGAGCTCATTTGGAAGGTGGCTTCTGGCCAGTCAGGCCTGCCTCCTTTCCAGGCCCCAATTGTCCAGCCCCCTTGAAGGCTGCCTCTGGGTCTCCCCAGTCTCTCAAGACTGTCTGAGGGAGGAAGGCAGAATCCCCCAGTTTAGGTGTACAGGAAATCTGAAGATGGGGGGGGGGGGGTAAGAAAGAGGTACAGGCACTGTAGGATGATGGAGCAGGCCTGACTGGGGTTTCCTTGGGGCCTCAGGGAACGGGAACTGTCCTCCGGAGCCCTTGCCACAGCCGCTCACTGCCGCCATCCCTCCCCTAGCTGCTGCCATGCATCCCACTCAGTCCCTCTGGCTTCTGAGTCCTTCCTGCCTCTTCCTTCCCTTAGAGTTACCTGTTCCTGTCCCCCAAGAGGGAGGTGACTACAGGCAAAGTGGATTCCTGAGGAGGAGCCCTATTCCCCACACCAGTGCTGCCACCCAGAACAATAGGCACGCGCACACGTGCTATCAGACCCCCAGAACACACACGGCCACCCAGCCACCCAGCCACATGGGGTCCACCCTGGAAGAGACACCCAGAGATGTGGTCAGAATCTAGGTGTACAGAAAAAAAAAAAAAACAGACCTGGGTTTTAACTTTGGATTAATGAGCTGTGACCTTGAGGAAGTCTTCTCTGGGCCTCAGTTTCCAAACCTATAACATGGGGGCGATGTTAGTGCCTGTCACTAGGTGTTACGAGGACTTCACCAAATGTTGGTTTTGTGCCACCTCCCCTTAGCTGGAAAGGGAAGCATGAGTCCAGAGAGGAAATAGGACTGGGAAGTCTGTCAGAGTGGGGAGAAGGGGCTCCAGGGGAGGGACAGTGAAGGGGCCAGCAGGGCTGACCGGGTTGTGTGTGGGGCATCGCCCTGCTCAGTCCTCTCTCTGCTAGAGAGCCCAGCTTTTCTTCCATCTTCCCTTCTCGTGTCAGTGACCCAGCCCCTGTCTGGCAGCCTCGGAGGTATGGGCCCAGCTTGTGGTGGGCACCCCGGAGAAGAGAGTCTGCGGCTCCCCGCTCAAACGTGTGGGGTGCGGTGGTGGGCAGAGCACTGTCTCTCCTCAGCGCTTGCCCCTGGTCCAGTCTCCTCTGAGGCCGCTTCCCTGGGCTCTGCCCAAACCTCCTCACAGATTCCCCTTGGCTCTCGCCTGGCTGTTCTAGCTCACATGTGCTGCTTTCGAATAAAGGAACTTGGAACCTTAGAAACTGGGTCAGGCCCAACGAACAAAGCGGGGTAGGGCCAGCGCGAGCAGCGCTGTCAGGCCTCTCAGGAGCCACAGGGCCCTCTGCTCTCCCTTCACCCTGCCTGACCCTGTGCGATCAGCCAGGCACCTCCCAGGGTCTCTGGGTGGGCCTCATGGGCTGGGTCCCTCAGGCCCAGGGCATGTCAGAAGCACGGGACCTCGCCGGCCTCCACCCCACGATTCTCCTTGCCCATGAAGCCTCTTCCCCCTCTTCCCCCTTTGTTTCTGGTCCTCCCGTTCCCATCTCTCCCCCTTGGCTTCAGAGAGCATCTTGTGATTCCAGAATCAGGGCCAAACAATTTCCTCGTGATGGGGAAACCGCACTCCAGCCGTGGCAGCCCTAGGCTCCCCCTCCTCTCCCCTCTGGCAGTCCCCCCTTCCCAGGCTCCACTGGCTCCAGCTGTGTTTTGCAGAACTCCCACTGGATAACATCTGTAATTGCCTCCAGATGTGGGCCACAAAAACACAAAGGGGCCATGAGCTCATCTTTGAGCTCCTTGCGACATGCAGAGGCCCCCCCACCCCCAACTCCCCCAGACAACCCCTGACTTTCCCGTGCCAGCTTCTCGGGGTCCCCATCCCCTCTGGTGAGGGTGGCAGGGTGGTGGTGGTGTCCAAATCCACTGAGACACACAAGCCATGCCAAACAGCTGTTGGCAGAAGAGGTGTAGGAGGCCAGGCACAGGGTCAGGGTTCCTGGCTGGCAGAGAGGTGGGGTACCCCTTCTGCCAAAGCAATCACACCAACCAGCCCTGAAGAGCAGCTGGATGGAACCCCTGAGCTACGTGGGGCCAGCACTCTTGGAAGAAGGCTGCGGAGGGGGCCTGGGCTGGAGCCCAGGGAGGGCCGGGCTAAGGCAGGAAGGGAAGGGGAGGAAGAAAGAAGGCTGCTCCCCTTCAGCTGAGCTGACTCAGCAACTGAGCTATTCCTCCCTCCAGGCTGGTTTCGGAGGAAGGGTGGGTCGCAGCCTGGGAACCCTGTCTGGGGCAGCAGTTTCGAAGAAACAAAGCCTTGTTATTCTTCCCTTCCACCCTGACCATCCTGCCTGTCCTGGGCAATGGGGGTGACATTCCTGTTTTGCCAAGATAGCCGGCTCCTAATAGGCCCTGGGTGGCCCCAGTGTTCCTTCTGTCCCTGAAGCAGAGCCCCGGGCCTCGAAGAGGCTTAGATGCTGAGGGCTGGGGTAAAGGGCCTGCCTGAGGCCAAACATGAAGGATCCTGGGACTTCCAGGATCAAAAAGTCCCCAGTAGCAAAAAGAGGTCTGGGGAAATGGAGGGTCTGTGGCCAGATCATGCGACAGGGTAATGCAATTTAGGAAGATTTTCCAAGTGGCCTCAGCTTGACCACTTCCTCTTGCCTTGCAGCTCTGGGCCTCAAAAGTAACCTCTTGGCCGGGTTGGGAGAGAGCAGCTGGGCTCTGTGGACCACTTCCCTGCCCCCCATGGACTAAGTCCTACTTCCCAGCTATGGCCTGTATTGTCTCTTTGTCCACCAAGAATAAGCATATTCCTTTATGAAAGATATTAAAACCCCACCTCACAGAAAACACCGGTTACCAGCACCTTTTCCACTCATTTCTCTTTCTGAGAGAACGCAGCCACACAAAGAATGTGAAACACCATTTATTCTTTGTGGAAAGGTTGAACAAGGTCAAAAATGTCCTTAGAGGGCACTGACCCAGCCCCGCCCTGCAGGTTCCTGGGGTCGGATGCCTCTGCCCCCCACCCCCACCCTTCCCATGCCCCTTGTTAACAAAAAGGAACGATTTGAAGGGGATTCATATATAATAATTATAATAAAAATATACATTAAACAAAACAAAAAACCCAAACAAGACAAATTTAGCCGAACTGCCAGCACCGTTCATCTCACACTCCCCCCACCCCACCACCCCCCACCCCTGACATCCCTCTCCTCTCACTGCCCCCACCGGGTCTCACTCTCCCAAGTCCCCGGTACCATGACCACCTGTGGTGGCCAAAGGAGACTTCAAATGGGTGGACTGGGTGGGGGAGGGGAGGCAGGACACCGGTAGCATGGGCTGAGGGGCAGGGGCATCAGGAAGTGAGGGGCTAACCTGACCAAGACTCACCCAGGCACCTGCCCCCTCACTGAGGTCAGCTGAGGCTGCCCCCTCACTGAGGTCACCTCCCTAACTAGGTGGCCGCCCTTATTAAGGTCCCAAGTCGCCAGTCCCTGGATGTGTGTTGTCGCTGCTCCTTTCTCTGGGCTCCCCACCCTTTCCATACATGTACTCTGGTTGGAGGAAGGGCACCAAGTGGAGTCGGTGTGCCTCTCTCGCGCCCTTCCTGAGAGCTCCAATAAAACATGCCCTTCCCTGGGTACCACAGCCCACCTTGTAGTGTCCCTGCTGGCCTGGCCTGCCCGGCCCCTGGCCATCCACTCCCACTGCACCTCCCTGGTTAGCCTTTTGGTCCCGTCCTGTCCCCTCTGACTGCTCTGCCCCTTGGTCCCTACTCCAGCTGCCTGCATTTGAGCAAGATTCTTTCTCTGTGGCCTTCAGGCTAACCCCCAGGGCTCCAGACAGTTTCTCTCCTTGGCCCCACACCACCACGGTAGCCACACCTCCAGTCTCAGTTCTAACCTTGACATCCCCAGCCGAGGCTAACGTTTGTGGAGGTAGGGCCGCCAAGGGTTTCTACAGCCCCTTAATGGCTCAGGCTCCTTCTGGGGAAGTTCTGGGGGCCAGGTGCGGCAGAGGCAGACCTTTGTGGAGAGGACTGACCCTGAGCTTTCCTCTCAAGGTCTTAGGGTAGCTGTGTACCCCTACCTGCTCCTACTCTCAGGGTCTCCCCCAAACAGCAAGATTAGATTCCTTTTAGCCAGAAAGAGTGGTAGGAGGCTGTAAATAGGGTGCTTCTGGGGGGCTTGTGGGGCTGGAATGCCCAGAGCCTCATGAGGTCAGAGTTCAGAGGTTAAAGGTACATCAGGGGATGGAAAAGGAGCAGATGACCCCGTTTGACCTTTGCCAGCGAGGTCCGAGGGTCCTGCCTTCAAGTGCAGAGCCAAGACATTCAGATGGGGCTGGACACACACCAAGCTACAGAGGCCCCTTAGGGTGGGGGGGCAGGGGCTGGAAGGGGCCTCCCCTGATCAGCCCCCAGGGGACCCACCTAGGGAAGAAGCAATGCCAGGGTTGAGGTTGAGAGAGGCAGTCGTGGGACAGAAAAGAAAGGAAGTGCGGGGCGGGTAGGGAGGGGGCTCGGGACAGGTGGGAGCAGCCCACCCACCACCACCTGCTGCCACTGGCCTTCAGGGGCAAAGTCCTCGTGGTAGGAGTGGGCGGGCGGCAGTGGGGGTCAGACCTTGTCCAGCAGGGAACGCTGGCAATAGAGCAGTCGTTTAGGGGTCCCGTGGCGCCTGAAGAAGAAGACGGCGAGGCCCACGGCCAGCACCAGGAGCAGCAGCAGCACGGGCAGCACCACGGCAGCCGCGCTCACTGCCCCGCCACCCTCTTCGTCCACCTCGATGATGATCACCTCGGTCTCCTCCTCAGTTCCCTCATCCGGCCGGCCCCCTGACGAGGGGCAGCCCATCCAGTCCCGCAGGGCGGACTTGGGGTAGCCTGGCTCTACCTTCAGCTTCTGGTTGTTGAATTTCCAGTATTTGTTGCCCTTGTAGAAGTAAGTGAAGACTGCAGGGGTCAGCCAGAAGGCGGCAAGGAGGACAGGGGATGGGGGCCGCGTCCGGAGGGCCCACAGAGAGGAGACGAACAGAAGGAAAATCTGTGAGTTGTGTGAGCCAGTTGAGTGAATCCCTGACCCTTTCTGAACATCGGGTTCCTCAGCTGTAAAAGGGGCAATTCTAGTGGCAGGCTGGTAGTGTGGTGGGGATTAGGGACCTGATGTGCAGAAAGCACTTTGCTCAGAGCCTGGCACGGGGCAAGAGTTCCGCTGTTGTCATCATTACTACTTTCCACGTGATACCGTCCATCTTTCCTCCTGTTCTTCCTTAACCCCCCCATCCCCATCCTCCCTTCACAGACACCCCCTCCTCTTGCCCCTCACCTTCATCGCTGCCCATGAATGACCCTCTGGGAGACTCAGGGATTCCTTCCCAGACCTTGATGTTTTTGGGGTACTCGCTGTCCACTGCCCTGAGCTCCTCGTTGAAACGGTAGTACCTGGAGGAGAGGAGGGGAAGGGAAGCGGTCGGGCCCTGGGCATGTCCATGGAGGGTAGCAGGGTCCAGGACTGAATTCACCAGTGAGCAAAGGGTGGCTATGGACAGGGTGTGGGACAGGGGTTTTGAGTAATGAGGGCCTGCAGCTGAAAGCGGCGGAAGGTGGGGGTGGATGGGAGGTCCCAGGCTGCAAGGAGCCACTAGTAGCCTTTAATGACAGTGCCTGGCAGCTGGGGTGGAGGCACGGCGCTGGGGGCAGGAGGCGCCAAATGACCAGGTCTGAAATGGTGACCCGGTCACTTCCCACTCACTCAGCACCTAATGGAGGCTGTCTGTTGCTAGGCAATTGCAGACGCTCAGCCAGCAACATCCCAGGGGTAAAGTGGGTACTCCTGTAGGACTGAGAACCTGGTGGTGGTATCTGAGGAGGGAGGGCTGGGTCAAGGGGATGGGGGTCTCACTTGTTTCCCCGGAAGAAGTAGGTCTTTCCATTGGGCATCCAGAAGAGAGCAGCATCGATTTTGTCAGTAGGCAGTCCTCGGCCCAGCTCCTTGATGTGCTTGGGGTAGCCGGGTTCTAGAGAAGCTTCGTCAAACACCCAGTGCTTGTCTCCTGGGGAGGGGAGAGAAGGGCAGGCTCAGGGTTCCACTTGGGCTCTTGGGTCTCTGGAGAAGGCAAGTGGAATCCACTCCTTCAGGGAGACTCTCCCCACACCCGGAGAACTAAGGTAGAATGGCTGGTTACCTTTGAAGAAGACAAACTTGCCATCCTTCCTCTCGTAGGCAGTGTTGATGGATGCAGGCAGGCCCCGCCAGAACTGGCCAATGGGCATAGGGTATCCATCCATCACCTGGTTATTCCTCACCCTCCAGAACCAGCGTTCCTGGAAGGCGTCGAGGTGGGGACGGTACATTATGTCTCGTAGCTAGTCTTCTGGCTCAGTCCCCAAAGCGTCCCACAGCCTCCGCTCTCGTTCTTAGTCCTCCTGCTGCTGTTTCCACCCAGCCTGCTGGGCATAGAACCCCCTTGTCCCCCGAAACCAGCCCACTTCTTCCTCTCACCTTGAAGACAAACATCTCCCCTCGGAGCACGGCCACGGTGTCAAAGTTCCCGTCACAGATGTTGGGCCCATAGGTGGGGTTTTTGGGCTTATCAGGGACAGAGGGCCTGGAGGTAGTCCTGGGTTGAGGGGGCATCTTGGTGGGGGACCCTGACTCACTCCCTGGTGTAGAGAACATGAAAAAGGCACTTTAGACTTTGTGACGGGGCAGCAGGGAGGGGGGGTGGGGAGGGGAGGAAAGAACAGATATATGGGCAGACAATAGCCTTAGAAAGGTGGATGGATCTTTAGAGGAGGGTGAAGCAATCAGCTGGGGAAGGACAGAAAAGGTGGGCTCAAAGGTGAGAGAGGAATAAAATATATAGAATAAATAAATAGGGGCGCCTGGGTGGCTCAGTCAGTTAAGTGGCCAACTTCGCTCAGGTCATGATCTGGCGGTTCATGAGTTTGAGCCCCGTGTCAGGCTCTGTGCTGACAGCTCAGAGCCTGAAGCCTGCTTCAGATTTTGTCTCCCTCTCTCTCTCTGTCCCTCCCCTGCTCACACTATCTTTCTCTCAAAACTAAACATTTTTAAATTTTTTAAAAATATATAGAAGACGGGCGCCTGGGTGGTTTAGTCGGTTAAGCGTCCGACTTTCGCTTAGGTCATGATCTCGCAGTTCGTGGGTTCGAGCCCCGCATCGGGCTCTGTGCTGACTGCCAGCTCAGAGCCTGGAGCCTGTTTCAGTCTGTGACTCCCTCTCTCTCTGACCCTCCCCTGCTCACACTGTCTCTCTCTCTCCTAGAAATAAATAAAACATAAAATATATATATATATATATATATATATATATAAGAAATAATGTAAAAAAAAGGGGGAGTGGAGGCAGGGTCAGGTGGGGAGGGGAGGTTGTAGGGCATGGGGGAGGAGAAGGGATGCATGGGCCAGAGAGACCAGGAAGGAGAAGGAGCACGTGTAGGCATACAGTACGCACCGTACAGTTGCTGGATGCCCCGGCGGTCGTCATCGGGCAGCACGAAATTCTCTGTGTCCATCCACTGGTAAAAGGGTGCCATGATGGCTGAGGGATCATTGGAATGCTCAAGGCCCAGGGCGTGGCCCAGCTCATGCACAGCCACCAGAAAGATGTCATTCCCTGGAGGGATGGGGAAGATTATGAGGGCAGCCTGGGTCCCTTCCCTCAGACCCCCTGCTTTCCCACCAGAGGCTTCATTTTCACACCTGAGGCTACCTGTCATGTTTTCCACCCAAAAAGCCACAAAGCCAGTCAGTGATATACTCTGGTTGGAGGTGAGAGAGTGCTCTGGGGGCAGATACCAACACCAGAAAGACGTATATTAAGGGAAGTTAGGGTCCTATCTGGGCTCCGGTTTCTCCCACGAGTTGGAGGTGCATTTGCCTGGAAAAGTGGGAAGTCTTTGACCGGGAAGTCAATTATTGGGTGAGAGAAGGGACCAGAAGTAAATAGCTCAAGATACGATTCCTGTTTTCACCAGAAGTTAGGCTAGGAGATGTCTGTAGCCCACAGATCATGAGGTTTGTTTTGGGAGGAGGCAGGAAACCCCCCACACACACACACAGTGTAGATGATGATTGACTCTCCCCAGGATAAATGAGTCCCAGGGCTACCTCACTCACCATTCAGATCCTCATTCCTGACAGTCCAGGGCTCGGCAGAGTCAAAGTGGGTGTCCCCTCCGATGTTGGGGCCCGGGAAATAGGCATGTGCTAGGAAGCCACCCTCGCCATCAAAAGGCGTGCTGTCACCATGGAAACCCTCAGCGAAGAAGATCATGATGTCCGCCTGCTTCTCATGGCCCTCTCGGATATAGGCATAGGGTACCTCTCGGAAACGAAGTGGTGTGGCGCTCTCCCACACGCGGAATGCCTTGCGAATGGCCTCGAATGTGGCATACTCTCCCACCTTGGGGGTGTAATTCTGGATGCTGAGGTCCAGGGGAGAGGATGGGAGTATGTTAGGATAACAATGGATAAAATTCTCCCTCCTTGCACTTTTCCCAGGTCTGCCCGACCTGCCCAGCCACGTTTGCTGACCTGGCACTTCCTGCTGCCTCACGATGGCTCAGCCCCAAGAACTGAGAGCTCAGGGGCCCCACGGGCTTTGGCTTTCTGGCCCTGGGATGTACCCCCCACAGGCTGCTCCTTTCTCCAAGATTACAGCCCCTTGCCTCCCCACTCCCAAGGACGCTTCACAGGAACAGAGGTGAGTAGGACAGGACTCCTCAGAGTCTGTCAGCACAGGTGACAGGAAGGGCAACCCCGATGGGAGAAAGGCAGCTTGCCTGCTGGACTCACCAAAAAGTGATCTCATTATGCTGCCATTTGAGGCCCTGGATGGCATAGCGCTTCCTTCGAACATTGGCCTTGATCTCGGCTCCAAACTTATCAGGAACACCACAGCGGGGTCGCTTCATGGCCCTGGGGTGTGAGGATTGTAGTCAGGATAGTGTATGAAAAAGAAAGGTCTTTGGGGGGGGGGGGGGGGCGCCTGGCCTCAGGGTTAGTGTGGGAAAGGGCCAAGGTCATAGGGTCAGGGTGAAAAGGAGAGGGTCTAAAAAAATAAAGTGGGAGTGTAGGGTGGGGGGAGGCAGGGTCAGGTGGGGATGGGGGGAGACTGTAGGGCATGGGGGAGGAGAAGGGAGGCATGGGCCAGAGAGACCGGAGGGAGAAGGAGCACATGTAGGCATATAGTACTCAGGGTCGGCATGTGGCATTGAGAGAGGGGGCAGGAGTCAGGTAGCAACCTCTCTGTGCTCAGTGTGGTCTGTGGGTGCTGGGCAGGGGGCAGGAGTCAGGTAGCAACCTCTCTGTGCTCAGTGTGGTCTGTGGGTGCTGGGCAGAATTCCTGCCAGGGTCCAGCACTTACTTCATGGTGTCTGCATCTGCCTTGCCCGTCACTCGCAGACCGTAGAACCTCTGCATGGCAGCAATAGCAGCTGAGAGTGACTGGGGTGAGCGCTGTGTGTGCGTTCGCAGATCCCCTGGGGGCAGGTACCCATACTGCTGCAGCCAGGCCTGTGGGGAAAGAAATGTGGCTTAGAGCATCCCCACTTGGCCCAAGGGGAGACTCTGCCTCCTCACGGTGCCTGGCATGCACCCTTGGCTTAGGAGGAAAGGGTAACGAGCTCCCAGCCTGGCTCCGGCTGTGAGGCTGGAGGACTTCCCAGGTTGGACCTGAACTCTGGCCCAGGCCCCAGTATGACTTGCCTTCTTGGGGCTGTGGGCTCAAATGGGGGTAGGGAGCCGCAGCTCTGGACTTTGGCTGTAACTCTCTCGAAAACGGGAACCTAGATGGCTTAACTGAGTTCTAGGATGTCTTCTCAGAGCCGAGATCCCTCCAGCACTTTCCTCCTCCGTGTCCGTGTTCTTGCAAATGTAGCATGTCCTACCTGAGAATGGGTTGTGCCCATGGTGGGTTGAGGTGGGGAGGCTGAAGGGGCTCTATTTTTGGTCCTGGCATGAGACCCTCTTGGGACAGGGGTGCCATGCTTCCAGGACCCTCACGAGCTGAGATCTTTTTAGAAAGGTGAGCAGGAAAGGAGCTAGGGCTGAGGCTGGCTGCCGAGAGGGGAAGCCGGGACGTTTGGAGGTGGTGCGGGTGTGATCCAGCCACTGAACCAAGATCTTGCCACTGTCCCCATCCAAGCATCTGACCCAGGGCTTGGGACCTAAAGGCCCATTTAAGGTTCTCAGTACAGGCAGTGGGAGATGCGGGTGGTGGTAGAGACTCAGTGACAGTATTTTACTTGAGGTATGTTGCAAATCGTTCATAATATAAAGGCTGGCACGCTGCCTTAAAATAGTTAGGTTTTTGGTGTTTGACTGAAAGGTACGCAAACTACAAAGCCCCGCTGAGAAAAAAAGAAAATCAGCCTTTATTTTAAGAACAATGGAGTATTTTTCTAAAGCCTGAAAAGTAAAATGAGCCAAGTTCTATATGGAATATGACAATGCTGGGATTCTCCAGTGGAGACACTACGGGCTCTGCTCCCTGGCTCTGGCTTTGCCTTCTTAAGGAGTCCAGAGGGGGCCTGTATTTCACCTGGGATGGAAGCTGGAAGTACAGCGGGGTAGAGGCTGCTGTTAGGTACCATACCCCTCACCCCAGGTGGTCAGGATGGATCTTTGAGTGGCCCTTCACTGAGTGGCCCTTCACGGAAGACCGGGCAGAAGCGTAGCCCATTGGGCCTGGGGGTGATTCAGGAGCAGCTGACTGGGGACATGTGCCCGCAGGGGCAAGAGTTGCAACAGGGTTCTGGGAAGTGATCCCCCAAGGCCGATGGGAGTTAGGGCCCAGAGATGTAAACAACCCAGCCTCTCCCCAGCCAACAGGCCTGGCCAGGACAACCTTAGCACCACCCGGCTCTGAGAGCCCCTCCTCAGGGGTAGGGGAGGGAGCAGAGTTTAACCTCTGCTCTACCACAGGGAAGCAGAGCAGGGTGCTTTAGGAGCTGTAGGCTTGCCCTGACCTGTGCTGGCTGATGCCACAGCTAGTGCCCGTGGGAGGCTGCGATGGCCTGTGCCCAAGTATGCAGGAAACTCCCTTTGCCCTTAGCCTCACCTGTAGGGTACACACACCCCAGGCTTATGACCCCTGGTGGGGGAGCAGCTACTTCAGCTTTGGAGAAGCATGGGAGTGGGCTACTCCTGGAGCTGGGAGTCAAGAGGACTGAAGTCGGGCCCCCTCAACCTTCCGGGGAGCAAAGCAGAGGGGAATTCTCCTAGGGCAGAATGACAGAATGGAGGGAGGCAGGGAGGTGGAGAGAGTCCACATATAGGAGCTCTGGGAGAAATCCCTCTCCACGATGAGTCTTTCAAGAAAAGTAGGCAGGTCTAAGTCTCCACACCCACAAAGTCCACTCCGTGCTCAAGAGAGAAAAATGGAGACTCAGGCAAGAAAGGGACTTCCCTGGAGTCAAAGAGCCTGGAAAGGAAATGCCCCCATCCCTCTCCTCCCAGGCCTAGTCTCTGAGCAAAGCAAGAACCACAGAGAGGACTAGGAGGTGAGGTTGGAACCACAGAAGAGAGGACTCTTGTGTCTGCGGCTGGGTGGGGGAAGGGCCAAGTGCCAGACAGGCCACGAGGAGGAGAGGGCTGCCCTGGAGCTGGTGCAGGACTCTGGAGGCCTGGTGGGAGGGACCCGGCTGCCTGAGGCCTGGCCACCCCAGCTCGCCCTCCAGATTGGCCTGGAGAGGGAGCAACTATGTTAGGTCAAAAAACTCAGTTGGCTGGCTTTGTCTTGAAAACTGAGTGGTCTGAGTATTCCCCTTGGGGAAAACTCAAGAGAACCCCTCCCACCTCTGGCCTAGGAGTCCTGCAGAAGGTGGGTGGGTGTGTGAGGGGTACTCTGGCTCTCCAGCAGGCCCTGGATCCAAGCCTCTGGTCCTGTTCCTCCCTCACTCTGCTTCCCACCCCTCCGTGGCCCAGAAGCAAAATGGTGGTTCTGGCGCTGAGACTGCCCATGACCCACTTAACACAGAGCCAGGGCTGCCGCCCCTCCCCTAGGGGGCCTGGTGGGGCAGGGGAGGGAAGGCAGGGCAGGCAAAGTTGGCAGGGGACAGCCCCCAGATGCCCAGGCTCCTTTTGTTAGGGGCTCTCCTTGCAGACCTCCGATGAAGACTCCAGGCCGGGAGAGAGGATGCCTCCTCCTGCTGGACCGTGTCAGGCTGAGCCTCAGGGCAGATTCGCGCTCTCTGTGGTCACCCCCTCTCCTAAGGCCACGCTTTTCTTTTTAGCCTCAGATCCCTTCGGGACAGAGAGAGTGTGTTCTTTCTGGAGATGTTTCCTCCGGGGGTGGGTCCAGGGCCAGGACCAGGAGGGAGGAAGCCAAGTCCAGATCCCCTCCCCCTTCTGGGCCCCTTCCCGGCCCCTCCCGACCGCACCCAGGCCCTGCCGGGCTGAGTGGGTTGGGATGGCCCAAAATAAGAAGCTGATCAAATTCGTCTCCCACCTTCACCCCAAAATAAGAGAAAGAGAGAGAGAAAGAGAGGAAAAAACGTCCCCAGACAACTCCCACGCGGCTTCCTCCTGGGCCGGTGGGCCAGCGTCGGGGAATGAGTCTGGGGGTGGGGGAGCGCCTGAGGCGGTAGAGATTGTGCTGGTGCCCTGGGCCTGGCCCTCTCCCTACTCCCGGGTGCGACGCCCTCAGTCTCCCTGCAATTAACACAAAAAAGCAATTAACAAAAGCAACAAAAAGAGCCTAAAGGCGTCGCTGGAGGTGGGTGGTGTGAGTAGGGTAGAGGGAGGAGGCGGCTGCTTGGCCGAGCCCCTGGCTCACAAGGAGAGCTTTGTGTGTACGGAAAGGCGGCCAGGGCGCCAGTCCCGCAACCCTCGACGCCAGGGCTCCGGGCCGGGACGCAGAGGGGTCCGCTCTGGGAGGCAGGGTGGATCCGGGGCCGCGGCCGCCGGGCCGTCCAGCCCCAACCCCACCTGGCGGCGCCTGCATCCACGGAGGGCCGGGACCGCCCGGGAGGCGCGCAGCGTGGGGGGCCCCGAGCCGCGGCGCCGTCCACCCGAGCCTCCCTGGCAGCCCCAGCGCCGGCGGGCGCGGGCGCGGGCGGGAGAGCGCAGGAGAGTTGGAAAGTTGAAGAAACAACGAACTCGCGCACATGACAAGAAACCAGGGCAGCGCTGGGTCTGAGCCGAATCCAAGTATTTACCAGGCTTGCTCCTGGTTCGGGGGCTAAGCTCAGAGTCCGGTGGAACCCGGGAGGGTTGGGGTGGGCCCCGCTGTAAAGCTCTTTGCAGGAAAGGACTGGGGAAGAAAGTTGGCGGAGGGTGGGGGGTTGGTTGAGGGGAAGCAGAAGCTGGATCGACTTAGAAGTTTGGAGATGAGCAGGGAAAGGAAGGGAGGGGGGTTCCTGGGGGCGCAGGGCCGAGACATCCAACGCCCTGCTCTCCGAGGAGGGGGGGGTTCCCTGGGAGACCCCCGGCTCGCCTCCCCGGCGGGCGCGACTACCGGCAGGGCCGGAGGAGCTCACTTACTTCGGGGCTGAAGCTGCTTTGGGCCGAGCTGAGGGAGGCGAGCGCGGTGGCGAGCGTGAGCAGGGGGAGCAGCAGACCGCCGGTGGGCCGTGGGGCTGGAGACATGGTCCGCGACCGTCCCGGCAGCCAGCGGTGCGGGCTCCGCGGTGGGGCCCAAGCCCTGGGGTCGTGCCGCCACTCCCTTGGGGCGCCTTTGTCTTCGGTGGGCACTGAATTTGGATCCCTAGACCGCAGTCCGCTTGGAGATGAAGGGATTGTTCTTGAAAGCGCCTGTTTGCTCGTCCCCTCTTTTCTGTTTTTTGATCTTTCTTCTGCTTAGTCTGCGAACTGGATAGCGAGCCCTCTCTCACTCTCTCCTCTGGTCCCTCCCTTCTCCCACAGCCTCTCCGCCCCCGCCCCCATGCCCTCCTTTCCCGGTGCGGACGTGGTTGTTTCAGCCTGAAACCAATTACAGCCGAGAGCCGGGTAAAAAAAAAAAAAAACCCTAGGTTGCCTTTCTGTGGTGGAGGCTGCCATCTGCAGGGGTTGAGGCCACAGCTAAGGACGGGGGTCTGTGGCGGGGGGACCCAGGGGACGGGATGTGGGAGACTTTCTCCCCCTAAGCATAATTTGGGTGGCTTGATTCCTCTGGTATTCGGCGTTTGTCTCACCTCAGAGTGGGAAGTATAGGGAGGCCCAGTGGTTGGGGCAAACGAGTTCAGAGTCTGGGAGGGCGGGTGATGAGGGTCTTCCATGTCCACGACCCCTGGGTTGGGGGGTTGTCTGCTGAGACCTATGACTCAACCAAATTGAAACTTTTGCCCCTGGTTCTCGACAACCACCTCCACCCCTCTCCTGCTGCAAGCATATAACAGTAATAGAACCCAGCTCCCCACCAACAAACTCTACAACCACATTGGGGCTGGGGGTTCTTGTGGAAAGACAAATGCACTCTCTTAATTATCATCATTTGCAATCTGGCTTCTCCTTAAATTAGAACGGGCTGGGGAGGAAAGAAGTACAAGGCCATGGATTGCAGGGACGGGCAAATCAAATTTGGGGAAACTGTTAGACACGAGAGATTGGGAATTAGGACTTTGGGGGTTAGCTCCCCCCCTACACTGGAAAAAGGCAGTTCCCTGATGACTAAAGTCTTCTTCAGGGTCTGACTAAACTGAGAACAAAAGGTGGAGGTATGCAGGGGAGGGGGAGGGCGCGCTGAAATGGACAGCGGGGGCCAGAGAGACAGATAAGACGTTGAGAGAGACAGATAAGCAGTTGAGAGTTAGATCTAGAAAAGCAGTGCGACAGAAGCAGGAAAAGTGTGGGAGACAGAAAACTCGACCATCAGCGAAATCTAAGATCCCAGAATTGCATTGGTCAGCGAGAGAGGAAGGAGGTTGTGGGGGGAAGAAGGGAGGGAAAGAAAGCAAGGGAATAAAGGAGGCTGGGCAGGAATTAGGTCAGGTAGGAAGCTCCAGGACTACCAGAGACCCAAGAACTATTATAAGTTTGTGGCAGGATAAAGGAAGAAAAGCCCAGTGCTCTGCATTGTAACAGCAGTAAAGGTCCTTCTCCCCCCTCCCCAAGTCTGTGATTAATTAAAGGTCTTCCTGGGTCCTGGACACCTAACAGGTTTGTGGGAGACATGTGATGGGGATTAGATACCTATGCCACGGTGACTGTTTGGAGGCTGAGCACCTCCGGGGCTCCCCTTCACAAAGTGGGGTTGGGAGGTATAGGCCTCTCTCTAACCAACCTCTGGAATTTAGCCAGCACCACAGAAACCTCAGAATCCAACTCTTCAGCAGAACATGCAACACCCAAGTCTTGTTCTTCCCATGTCAGCCTTCCTGGTGGGGGTATCCTCTAAGGCTGGGTATCCGAAGTTTAGGAAAACCGATACCAGTTGCTTGCCAAGAAACGGACCTCAGCCGGAAAGCCTTTTTCATCAAAACATTTATTAAATGAGTAACTGCCATGCAGCCTGAGCTGTGTAGGGGCTGTTAGAGGCTTGAGCGCCTAGCTAACAACAGGATAACTGCTGCCCCTTTTGCATGTTCACAGAGCAGCTACCGTTCACAAGAGGGCCAGTCCGATGGCCTGCGGAGGAGACAAGTGTCCTAGCGCACGATTGCACTGAAGTGGAAGGGAGCCAGGGATGAGGGCACTTGGCCAACTCTTCTAGGCAGTGATCCTACAGGCTGTTCCTCCTGGTGTCCAAGCTCTTGGGCTTGGAAGGCAGATGGGGATGTGAAGGCTCTCCTCTGGCTGGGATGACGCATGCTGGTGGGAGAGAAGGAAGCCAGAGAGAGGCTGGGAGAGGGAGACAGGAATTGCTTCTTATTGACTTGGTAGTGGGCTCTTCAGTAGAGCCCCTTTGGGTTTCAGAGCATTTTTCTGCTTCCTTTCTTCTTCCTGCAGCTTCTCCTGCTGCCTAAGCTGCCATGCCTGTAACCCGGCATCCATTTCCTGTGACAGCAGTACAACTCGTCTCTGAAACAGACAGGAAAACAGGGTGGATGACATCTGGGGTTGGGCTCGGCACATATATCCTTTCCCTCCCAGAGCAAAGGCAAAAGTTTCATCTGGAAAATGACACTGTTGAGTGGGGGAGGGGACCAGGTCCCAGGATGGGAAGCAGGAGGAGGTACAATGGGAAGCAGAAGAGGACCAGTACTACGGCCTTGGAGTGCCCACTCCCCTCCTCCCTTCTCAGAGTACTGTAAAAACTTGAGCCGTTAAAACCTCTGTATAGGGGGGACATGTTAGCTTATGTGTGCGTGCAGCTCAAAACAAGTTAAAATGTAAAGTTTTTCCCTTCAAGTACACACGGGTTGCCCTGGCTCGGGCTCTAGTGACTCACTGCAAACTTCTCCCTTTGGGCTTTTCTTCGAAGCTGGCCTTTCATTGGAGGCGCAGGGCGGCCATCTGCATAGAGAAAAGACCAGTGTTAGAGATGATGGCTGACAGCACCTTGTGAAGGCACTGGATTGGACAAGGGAAGATCTAGTCTCTAGTTCCTCTCTTCCATTTCACACCTGTGATGGCTTTATTCTCCAAAACCCATCCCTCGGTGTTGAGGGTAAGGTATGCCCAGAATAAGCTCTGGGCATATTCCTACTCGATTTCACTTACCCCTCAATGTCCTGGAATTCACGGTCCTTTGGAAGGCTGAATTTCTTGTTTTAGCTTTAGAAACCCTCCACTCAAGCAATCTGATCACTGTTTCACTCACCATGAATCTTTGCTAAATGCCATCTCAGTCCATAATGAGACGCCCTCTTTTCCTTTCCTCTCAGCCCAGTTTTCGTCCGTAGGCCCCCCTAAAGCCCTATCTGTCCCAGAAACCATTCTGTTAACTTTTTCAACTCTGTCAAATCTCTTTATGAAAGAAGTGCATATTGGTTATTTATTATTCATCTATTTGCCTTGGGACATTTATTTTAATATTTTGTTTGTTTGCTTGTTTGTTTTTGGCCTTGTTTGGCACTTCAAACCCTCTCAGAAAGGGGTAGAGCACTGAAGTATTATTAAGTTTTTAAAATGTCATGCTGTTTTCCCAGCTAGACTTTACTGGACTGCATCCCTAGGGTTTTGCTGTAGCATAGCATAGGCACAGAATCACGTAATAAAAATTCTATTAATATCTACTGACTTGATGAAAAGATGTATTATCTTACGTAAAGTAGTTTATAATGGAGCTGAAGAAAAAGGACACTTATTTTCTACAGAGTAAGAAGCAAACAGTGAAAACTCTGCCCAAAAACTTTGTGGAAACTGAGAGATACAATTAAGTAACATGCCCAAGACTACAAAGTTAGCAAGTAAAGAACCCTGAATGAAGAACCAAATCCAGAGTCTTTCCAGTATTCCATACTACTTCTGGGAGATGCTAGGCTTCCTATAGTAAATAACAAGTGGAATAAACCTTTACCATCCTCCTCAGGGTCACACTCCTATAGAAACCAATAGGGTATTAGTATTCAGGTCTCTAATGTTGAAGGGTGCCTGGCCCTTTCTCAGTTCTAGTATTAGCTTTGCTATTACCTAGCTGTTTGATCACAGGAACTCTGAGGCCTCAATTTTCCCACCTGTAAACTGGAGTCCTATATAAGAAATGGGAATGGCTTTTTCTCAGATCCCTCCCTTCTAGGTCTAATATCTATTTTTTCTTTTTCTTTTTCCTTTCCTTTCCTTTTCTTTTTCTTTTCTTTGGGGGGAGGGTGAGAAATTTTTCTGAAGGGAGCCCGCCATCCTCAGTCCTCACCCTTCTACTCCTGTCTTCTGAGATGTTTTAGGCCGTTTTCAAAGAGCTCTCCCCGCATTTGGTACCAAATTCTCAACAATGTACTCACCACATAGAATGGTGAGTCTTTCTAAATTTTAAAAATCGTCGTCCCTGAGAAACGTAAAGATCTTGTTTGTCACTCCCTCCCCCGGGGCGCCCCAAGTTGGAATTATGTTCTACCTACCCCACAAGAGCCTGTCTCGCATAGGCAGTTTAATTAACAAAATAAACAATAGGGCTGCTTCTCCCCAACTCCAAACATAAAGTTCAATACGACGTCCACTCACACACATCCCCACCTTGACCCCCTTCTCCCCCCACCTTCAGTCCAGGGAAGTTCCCTCTCGGCAAAAGTCTGACAGTTAACTGTCAGATCAGCGCTTACCCGCGTAAGACCAGTCTGGGAGCTCCGTAAGGGGCCCGTAGCCAGAGGGGTTAGCAGCTAGGCCCTGCCTGGGTGGAGAAAAACATTCCGGTGAGGATTCAGCCCAGCTTCTGGCACCCCAGGACCCCCTTAAACCAGGAACTCACTGGAGTCGCCACTGACTGCCCGCCCGAGCCGCCACGCTACTGTGCAGCCTCCGGACACCTGCTGGGAAAACAGGGTTGAGTTGGGAGAGAGGCCGTGCAGCCAACTCAGGGGTCTCAGACCTGCCCCCGCGAGCTCCCGAGCACACGGACTCCACACTCACTTACTCAAAACCAGGGTACCTAAAGCAGCCATGCTGAAGTCGCGCAGCCGGAAGTGGGCGTGGCGCCGGTGGTCATGCGCGACGCCGCAGGGGAAGTCGGAAGCCGCCATCTTGAAAGTGGTTTTCAATCAGGGCCCCACCATCTTGGGCCGTTGTACGGAAGAAAGGGGCGAAACTGCGACCCTAGTATATGGGCGAGAGCGGTTGGTCTGCGTATGTGTTGTCAGTACTGGTTATACCCTCAGTGGAAGTCGTGTCCTAGACTGAATCGTTTTGAGCTGCTCCAGCGATCTCTGCGCAGCGGTGTCTAGTGCTTTGGAATTTATGCCATTATCTTAGCGTAGTTCCCTTATTCTACCTTCTTTTGCATCACTGTAACGTGTTTTTCCTCAGCGTTAAGAGTCAAATCTCGAATGAATAAGAAAATGTGGGTTTCAGTCCTTATTTATTCAACATAATTGAAGAGCTTATATGTGGTAAGCACTGTACTAGGTGCTGGGGATTCTGCAGAACAGACGTCATCACTATTCTGACAGCGCTCCCAGTCTAGAGAGAGAAGACAATAATAATCACCTACATTACTGTAATAGTACCATTGAGATTGTAGCAGGTGTACAGGGAGGGATACATGAGCTCCTGGCTCTGGGGATCTCAAACAGATCAGGTTCTGGCCACTTGACACAGACAAAATTCCAAAGGCAGATAGACGGTGGTGAAACCAGAAAGGGATTTATTTCAGTGAAGCCAACACCAGGAAGACAGAGGTCAGGTGTCTTAAAGTGCTGAAAATACTTACAGGTTTATATACCTACAATGAGGGGCAAAGGTGGAGGAGTACCTGCAGGTGGGCAGTGAAGGTCAAATCTATCATTGTCTTGCTGAGAGTCAATCATGGGTGGTGTCTTGGGGCTCAGGGCAATGCTTATTGCTTGACAGGGTTGTTTTATTCTCTTCAGGGGTTGCTATGCCCTCGGGGTCTTCCACCTAAACCAAGAGACAAGCTAAAAAGAACCTAACCAGAGAGGCGCCTGGATGGCTCAGTTGGTTAAGCATCCAACTTCAGCTCAAGTCATGATCTCCCAGTTTGTGGCTTTGAGTCCTGTGTTGGGCTCTGTGCTGACAACTCAGAGCCTGGAGCCTGCTTTGAATTCTTTGTTTCCTTCTCTCTCTGCTACTTCTCTTCTGTGCTCTCTCTCCCTGTCAAAAATAAACATTAAAAAAAAAAATTTAAGGGGTGCCTGGGTGGTTCAGTGGGTTAAGCGTCCGACTTTCGCTTAGGTCACGATCTCACGGTCCGTGGGTTCGAGCCCCGCATCGGGCTCTGTGCTGACGGCAAGCTCAGAGCCTAGAGCCTCTTTCGGATTCTGTGTGTGTGTCTCTCTCTGACCCTCCCCTGCTCATGCTCTCTCTCTCTCAGAATAAATAAAACATTAAAATTTAAAAAAAAAAAAATTTTTTTTTAAGTTTGAGGTCAAAATGGAGGTACCAGAAATCCTCCAAGATGAGTGTTGGCAAGTACCCTTTTGTAGCTATAACGGGAAGTTTACCTGGAGAAAGCTGTGAAAGAAGTCTTTCTTGGGGAATAGGTCTTGGAGCTAAGATTTTATTTCATTTTTGCAAGGGCTATCACCACATATTGTCTAATATAATCCTTGCATCAAGGAGACAGGTACAGAAGTACCCTTTAACCATGGTTTCACTTTCTATAGTTTTTAGTTACCTACATTTGGTTGCCCTGTGGAAGCAGATACTCCTTACAAATTGTGAGAAGGTCAATAGTGGCCTAATGCGAAGTTACAGTGCCTATATCATTCACCTTACTTTATCTTTTCATCTACAAAAGAAATATTTGAGAAAGATGACATTCACATGATTTTTATTACAGTATATTGTTAGAATTTTTATTGTTGTTGCTAATCTCTTACTCTGCCTAATTTTATTTAAAGATTTTTTTTACATTTTTTAAAATATTTATTTTTGAGAGACAGAGACAGAGCACAAGTGGGGGAGGGGCAGAGAGAGAAGGAGACTTAGAATATGAAGCAGGCTCCAGACTCTGAGCTGTGAGCACAGAGCCTGACATGGGGCTCAAACCCGCAAACTGTGAGATCATGACCTGAGCCAAAGTCGGAGGCTTAATGACTGAGCCACCCAGGTGCCCCTGTGCCTAATTTTAAATGAAATGTAATCATAGGTATGTCTATATAGGGTTTGGAACTACCATGGTTATAAGCATCCACTGGGGTTCTTGGAATGCATACCCTGTGGATCAGGTGGGACTACTATACTGGTAAGAGAAAACACAGACCTGTGACTCCTTCCCTCTTTTTAATAATTTATTTGTCTTGGGGAATTCATTTATCTTTAATTTTTTCGTTAAAAAAAATTAGGGCCACTTGTATGGCTCAGTTGGTTGAGTGTCCAACTCTTGGTTTTGGCTGAGGTCATGATCTCACAGTTTGTGAGTTTGAGCCCTGAGTTGGACTCTGCAGATGGAGTAGAGCCTGCTTGGGAGTCCCTCTCTCCCTCGCCCAACCCTTCAAAAATAAACAAACTTAAAACAAACAAACAAACAAACAAACCCTGAGGTGACTGGGTGGCTTATTGGGTTAAGCATCAGACTTTGGCTCAGGTCATGATCTCACAGTTCGTGGGTTCCAGCCCCGCGTCAGGCTCTGTGTTGACAGCTCAGAACCTGGAGCCTGCTTTGGATTCTGTGTCTCCTTCTCTATCTCTGCCCCTTCCTTGCTCTTGCTCTGTCTCTCAAAAATAAACATTAAAAAAAAAAACCCTTAATATATCACATCTTAATATTTCACATCTGAAAACATTGAAGTAAGTACAAATACTTTATGAACGGTGAAGCTCCTACAAAAGTGCCTATTACTATGTGCTAGGCTAGACACTTAACGTGTGCTGACAGGAGAAACTGAGGGAGTGGTGCAATGGCCTATCTGGAAGTTTATCATTTCCTTCTGTAAGACTGGGAAATTTTTCCACAGGAGGCTCTGAGCTGTGCTTTGAAAGAGGGGAAGGGTGGATCCTGGTTTAAGAAGTAAAAGCAGCTGTTTCAATAACAATAAGAATGGTATAAGCTAGGGCTGAACCAAAAGAAAGGATGGGAACAAAAGAACCTTGGCTATAAGCCAACAAATGGATCCCAAAAACCTAAGTAAGGGCAATAAGACCGTACGGAACTATTATCATCTTACATTCATACACTTCATTTTCACCTATCAAATCACTTCCATATAAATGATTTCACATGATTTTCATAATCTGTAAAGTAGATAAGACAGTCCAGGAAGCAATCGTTATACAGATTGCTTGTAGTTTTCAGAGATCAGGAAATTGAATTAAAACGTGGCTGTGGATTTATTGTTTTACAATTGCAGCAATGACTGAATGCCACTTTCCCAAGCCTAGCTCCATACACCTTTGGCTGGTTCTGAGACAGACAGCTGAGGTAGACAGCACTATTACATAGTTTACAGTTGGCAAATCAAATAGTAAAAGCCAAGGGCTGGAAAAATAACCTTAGTGTCAACATTCAAGGTTGACAGGAAAGATGACAAGCTGGCACTACCACCGTCACTATATAAAAGAGTTGAACCAGCAATATTCTTATCTTTCAGTAGCTCAAACACTTGGAGGATACCATCAGTTTGCAAAATTATTATTTTAAAGATTTTATTCTATTATTACTTATTTGCTACTTTTTGATTATTTTCAAGAAAAAGAGAACATGAATGAGTGGACGGTGGCAGAGAGAGAGGGGGGCAGAGGATCCAGAGTTGGCTGTGTACTGACAGCAGTGAGCTGGACGTGGGGCTTGAACTCACAAACCTCGAGATCATGACCTGAGCTGAAGTTAGATGCTTAACTGACTGAGCCACCCAGGCACCCTTAAAGATTTTGTTTTGGGGTGCCTGGGTGGCTCAGTCAGTTAAGCATCCGACTTTGACTCAGGTTATGATCTCGCAGTTCATTGGTTCGAGCCCTTCATCGGGCTTTGTGCTAACAGCTAGCTCAGAGCCTGGAGCCTGTCTTTAGATTCTGTACCTCCCTCTTCCCTCTGACCCTCCCTTCCTCACTCTCTCTCTCTCTCAAGAAATAAATAAAATATTAAAGAAAAGAAAAGCAAAAACATGTGTTAAAAAAACTAAAAAAAAAAAAAGATTTTGTTTTAAAGTAATCTCTGCACCATTGTGGGGCTCAAACTCACAGCGCTGACATCAAGAGCCACATGCTCTATTGATTGAGCCAGTCAGGTGCTCTGAATTTGCAAAATTATAAAAAAGGGCACACACATTAAGGTGAACAAATAATGTGAACAATATACATTCTGCACACAGAAATGAACACATGCAATACTTTAATATCTATGGAGGTCAAGGAGCCAGAGCTGGAGAACTTTGAGGGTAGGATGGGAAGTTTAATTGGGAAAACTCAGAAATCTGGGAGGGGAAAGGTTTTTGGAAGAAAGACAAGTTCAGCCTTTGACGTGGTTAGTGTGATGTGGACAATCCGTGGGTTGTAAATAGCAGGAAATATGGTTTAGGATTTTGAGAGAGAGAGAGAAAGAGCACTAGTGCTGACAGCTAACATCAGCAGCATTCTCAGGGACCTCATGAACACTGTGGCAGAGGAAGGGGGTCTGGCAATTGGACAGCACTTTCTTTTTTTTAATTTTTAAATGTTTTTATTTATTTCTGAGAGAGACAGAGACAGCGTGAGCAGGGGAAGGTCAGAGAGAGGGAGATACAGAATCCGAAGCAGGCTCCAGTCTCTGAGTCAGCTGTCAGCACAGAGCCCGACGCAGGACCCGAACCCACGAACCGTGAGATCATGACCTGAGCCGAAGTTGGACATCCAACTGACTGAGTCACCCAGGCGCCCCAGGACAGAACTTCTTAATGACTTCATTAGACTCATGAGCCACAAGAAAGTGGCTTTGTCATCCCAAACTAGATGTTCTTCAACCTCTAGACTTCATCTGGCAAAGGCTGGAATGAAGAGCAATGAGAAGCATCAGGAATCTGAGCTTCATGACTTTCCTCTCTCAAACTCCTTTGCCTTTCAAGAGCATCACAGCCTGTATTTTGGTTTTAACATTTTGCTGTCCATTTATGTTTTTGTCCAGTATGTTTATTCAAATATCCTTCTGTATATTCTGTACACAGTAACTTTTGTGCACGTGCACTGCTCTGGGAAATTAGGCGCTTTTTATTTTTGTTAAAAGAAAATTTAGAATTATTTATTTATTTTGAGAGAGTTAGCCAGCTTGAGCAGGGGAGGGGTAGAGAAAGAAGGAAAGAATCCCAAGCAGGCTCTGCCTGAGCTATCAGCACAGAGTCTGGATGCGTCACTCGAATCCATGAACCCGTGAGATTATGACCTGAGCCAAAGTTGGACACTTAACTGACTGAGCCACCCAGGCACCCTTAAATTTTTTTAAAAAATTTTTAATGTTTTATTTATTTCTAGGAGAGAGAGACAGCGTGAGCAGGGGAGGGTCAGAGAGAGAGGGAATCACAGACTCTGAAACAGGCTCCAGGCTCTGAGCTGGCAGTCAGCACAGAGCCTGACGCGGGGCTCGAACCCAACGCTTAACCGACTAAGCCACCCAGGCGCCCCTTAATTTTTTTTTCAATTAAGTAATCTCTATGCCCAACATGGGACTCAGGACCCTGATATCTGAGATCAAGAATCACTGACTAAGCCAGCCAGGCGCCCCTGGGAAACTGCTTTTTAAACCATTGAGATGAATAATGATGATGTTAGAGAAAACATAAGTGAAACTGACTCGGAGTGACCAATTCCACTTCATTTTGTAACTTGTTCTTTTTACATGCCTATGGCCAAACTGAAGTTTGAAGAAGAGCAAACTATTTGGGAAGTATCTCATTTTACCTTCCTTCATTATTTTCCTCCTTAGGACCACTCAACAATTAAATCACTGTCAGCCCAGGCAAGAAATGTGGCAACTAAAGGCTACCCCTCACACAATACGTTGCTTTACATATTATTTCCGTAATACACAATTTATTGTAGCACATTCCTTTTCTTTCCCCGTGGCTGCTAAATCAGTTCGGGCTAAATTTTGTGTTAAATCATCCATCTTCAAGATGGGTAAATTATGACCTCGGCCTACACCCTTTTTTCTTGCCTCTGGCAGGTGGGATGTCTCTCAGCTGTGTGTCTTCCACCAGACTGGTCTTAAAGGTGGGTATCTCTTGGTGAATTTCTGCAGCGTGGCAATCTGGCTTTAAAAATGCCAAAGTTGGACTGTCCAAAAGGTGTACAAAAAATTGTAATATTTACAAGTTATCTTTGAGCCTTAAAACATGGTGAAGTGTTTTCAGATCCCTTTCCTTGAATTAGTTCAGCAACACCCTCTTTTGTTGGGTCCACACTGCCGCTAAGACTCTTCAGAAGATGAAGCACCTTCAGAAGATGGCTTTGGGCATCAGCCTCCCGGGCACCCGAGAGCGGGATATTTTTGGTTAAGTGCTGCCTCCTGGCGGCAGCTCTACTGCCCGACAGCTTCCCGGCCTGGTGGAGACCACTTTCTTGAACTGGGGATCTCGAAGCTGATGCAACAGCTTCCCCGAGGGGGCGGGGAGTTGAGACGCCCATCCGAGAGACCCCTCCCCTGGCTCCCGGCGGGCGCCGCTCCCTGCCTCCTCCCCCACCGGACTTTGCAGTCCAGAGTCCCTCCCGAGTTTCAGCCTTGCATCTCAGGGCCGGAGGCGGGGTTGCCAGGGTTTGGGGCTCCGGTTCGACCCCCGTCGGGCAGCCAGCAGGATTGGGAGGGAGGGAAGAGGAAGCTGAGCGTCCCTGGGGCGGAGGACGAGCCTAAGGGTATCCGCACTTTCCTGTCCCACGGGCAGCTCAGCTGTACCTGAGCGAAGAGAGGGCAGGGGAGCGGGTTGCTGACCCCTCGGTTCTCGGATCCTGGCCCTCTTCCCTGCACCCACCACACCCCCCTCCTCCAGCGCTTCCTGAAGCCAGGAAGAGGAGCAGGCTGCTTGGCCTGAGGGAAGGAAGAGAAGGGACACCCGGGTGGGGTGGGCTCTTGGTAGGTCAAGGCAGACCCCGGTTTGGCTTTCGTATCCAGACGTGGACATCGGGGGCGACCGAGCTCTTAAGAACACTGAGGGCGGGCGGCGGCTGGGTCGGGGTTTGGGAAGGCAAGGTCTACGGGTTGCGGATACGGAAAAGCTGGGGGCCAAGGGAAAGAGTGTAAGGAAGGGAACCGGCGGGGGCGACGTTAAAGGTGGAGGGAGGAAGGCGAGGCGGGGCTGGGGGATGGGGAGTGTGGGAGAAAGGGGCAAAGGTGAGGTCGGCCTGCCGGCTGGGTGGGGGCAGAGAGGTGTGGGGCCAGGGTCACGCGGGAGAGGAGAGATGCGGGAGGGCGCCCACTACAGGGTTGCGGTTCCACTCTTGAACTCGCCTGCATTCTCTTGAACTTGAGCCTCGCCTCCTTCTGCCTCCTCGCCTCTGAGCGGCCGTCGCACCTTGCTCTCGCCGTGCCCAGACCGGTCAACCTGAGCCTGGGTGTGGGACCATGCGGCCGAGAGCTCCTGGATCCGGTAAAGCGCTTTTTGTTTTCCCATTAACGAAAACAGAAGTTCGTTGCAAACCATTCTAGGCCTCCCAGTAAAACTGAAAATTATGCCCTCCCACTCCTTCAACCCATTACTGTCAAAAAGAATAAATACTTCCAGATACTCCTTGCTTGGTTTAGGAGCCAGAGGAGCGGTGGCATATAGGTGGGTCAGAAGGGCAAGTTCAAGGACGTTCCTAGAGCCCTGGCTCCTGGGAAATCAGTCCAGGAGGAACAGCATTGTTTATTCATTTGTTTATTTTCCCAGTAATTATTCTTGACTGTCTCCACGTGCCCTGCCCTGGGGATACAGGGTGAAAGACCTCTGGTGGGGTGGCGCTTACCTCCTAGTGAGGTAGGCGCCAACAAACAAAGAAACTCTGGGAGTGGTCGTGCCCTTGAAGAAAAGTCCAGCGTGGTGAAAGGATGAAGACCGGCCTCGGGAGGAAGTTGCTCCTTCACAGACTCCTCAGGGAAGGCCTATGGTGGTAGTGTGGTGGCTAAGCATAGCCTCCAATGGAGTGAGCGAAGGGATGAACCATATCGCAGGGCTGAATGTTGCAGAGGGAACAGCAATTGCGAAATCTCTGAGGGGGGAGCATGTGTGTCGTGTGGCAACAGCAAGGAGGCCAGTGTGGCTTGAGTGGAGTGACAGTGCAGGGGCCAGTGCAAACAGGGGCAGCTCTAGGGCTGTCTTCCTAGGAATTCCCTTATTTACAATTTGGGCCTGACCTCAGACTGGAATTAAGGGGCAGGCCGGCTGAGCAGTGGCCTGGGTATAAAAGGGCACTAAATTATCCTCGGAGTAATTCCGACATTTGGTGCCAAAGAACTCTGATTTCTGTCTGTGTCTTGGTGAGCCGTAAGTTGGCTCCCATCCACTGACAGTCCTTGACAACTGCTTACCTGGACTGTTTGTTTCCCAAATAGTTTTACAACGTGCAGGTACAGGTAGAAGTTGCAGGGTGTGGCTCTGAGACTGGCCAGCTGGTGGGTGTCTAAAGGCAGCAGTCACCTCTGGAATTCTGCAAATGCACCCTGCGCTGTGAAGTGCTGTTCCCTCAGAGCTTTATGCTATTGCCTACAGTTTAAATGGCTTAATATGCGCACCAAGAAACTGCTTCAGAGAATTGGATGTGATGAATTCATACAGTAAGCTCTAATTTTGAATAGAAAGGAGGCTTATGGTTTTTATTCCAACAAAATTGGTATTCTCCATCTCTGCTAAGTAGACATTCACTGGGTATTTAAATGATCCTGGTCTGACGGGGGGCCAACTCATTGGCTTGCTCAGAGTGCCAGGGCTGGCTCTTACCTGGCAACACAGGCACCCCCTGAACCAACTGGGGACCGGGACTGCGAGCGGGCTTGTTTGCAGTCAGGCGTTTGGCTGCACTCCCACAAGTAGTCTTCCTTGGCATGTCTTGCCCTACACAGGGGCTGAGTTCTGGTGCCGTGATGATGGATCCTATGCTCTCCGCAGGACCAAGGATAGATCGTATATGAGCGGGAGATGAGTAGGAGATGGAATCGGGAACAGGAGAATGGTAAAGGACACCAGGAGGGGACTGCCAGTCACTGGGAGAGCCTAAGGGCTCAGTAAACATAGGGCAACAAGGAAGTTCAGGGGCTGAGGTGGGGAAGAGGAGGAGCTGAGACTGAGTAGAGAAGGTGCCTAGAGGCGGCAGGCGTCGTCGAAGTCCTCTGGGTCTGACCGGGCAGTCCCAGCTCCAGCCCGTCCCCTGGCCCCTCCCCGCTGCCGGCCAGAGTCACACATGTGTTTTCCTGTTTTCCATTTCGGTCCCCGTCACCCTTTGCCTTTTCTGCTCCTCGGAGTCAGCAGCTGCTGCAGTTCCAGCCTTAGCTGGCTTCCCTTCCTAGCACCTTCCCCTCCCCCGCCTCCCTCCCTGCCTGCTGGTAGCCCCTCCTCCTCGCACCTGCCCAAAGGTCACGGGACAGGTAAGAGGTGGGAGAGGAGGGACTATGGGCCGGAGGGGAAGTGCCGGAGGAGGATGGAGTGAGTCCTGAGAATTGGCCTCCTGGAGACCCAAGAGCCCGTCGTCTCCCAGGTCTGGCCCCGGCGGCCCTCTCTAGGCAGAGCCCTCTTCTGCCCAGAGACTTCAGCCCTACGCTAATGGGAGCCCTGGCCTCAGGAGTAAACAATTTCTCTCTTGTTTCACTTTTTTTTTTTTTTTTAAAGGGACGATCGTAGCCTCACTGAAATATAGAAAAACAAGTGGAGAACTGGGGAGGGAGGGGCTGAACTTCCAGCTTGGGGTGATGGGGGAAATCTGGCCGCACCACAGTGTCTGTGTTTGCGGTTTCTGTTGTTAGAGGAGGAAGCACAGACCAGTTGGAGCTAGGAAGGCAGGACATGGGGTCTCTAGGGGAGAAAGTGTCTTCTCCCATTTAGCTTTTGAGCTTGACAGAGCAGCCAGGACCCTGAACTGTGTGCTGGTTCCTGGAAGAAGTAGGCTTTGGCATTGTCATTCCCATGTGGGTTGGGGTCAGGGACCTCACTGGCTGCTTGTGCTGGGCATGGCATGCTGGGGGCCCTGTGCCCACGTTCCCCGGACCCCTGAATCTGATACTTCACCCATAGGTTATGAGTGTTGTCCTGTAACCTCCACTGGGTACTCAGAGATGACTGCACCTCAGGCAGGAAGCAGACAGGGTGCTGTGTGTCAGGAAGGCTGGTATCTACTGGGGTTCCTTGTATCTACTCTACAAGGTTCTCCTGTAAAGGCCTGGGGTGGGAGAGCCCTTTGGGAGAGATCCCGGTGGTCCCAGGCTGTCTGAATGGTGAGCCAGGCTCTCAGGCAGGAATGTGAGCTGCCGAAGACGCTGCCTTCCTGCCCACAGCTGCTATGCTAAGCAGTGGTTAAGAGGGGGCATCGTTTCTCTGAAGGGCATTCTCCCCGTCCAGTTTGCAGGGACTTAGGAGTAGGATAGGGAGATTCCACTGGCAGCACTTCCTGGTGAGACCGCTAGGGTGTGCTGTCTGCTGGAGTGTGGGTTTTACCCCCCTTCCTCTGGGTATCTGTCTCAAGATTCCAAGATAAAGGACTTGGCTTTTCAGATACCCCCCAGCCAGGGACTAAACCCTGCACACTGCTTTGCTACTTTCCCTCACAGTTTCCCCTTCCTTTGTCCCTCCTTCATTCCTTTCCTTTATGTTCCGCCGGGACATATGCCCACCCCCTGGTGCCAGTAAATTTGGTCTTAAAAGGCCAGGCGGGATGATGTGTTCCATGTGTTTTTATTTGCTAAGCAGTGGGCACCCTGGCAATGGCATCGCTGCCAAAAAAGACTTGTAGTCACCCCTCATCCCTGTAAAGGGATGAGAAAGGGGAGGAGCAGCCGGGAGGGAGGTAGCCTAGGCATCCGGCTGAAGGATAACAGAGGGTGTTTAATCTAATCACATCCTCCCCAGGTAATTCATTAGGGAGCCATCTAAAGTGTTTTCCTGTCTAAGGGGAAGGCCTAGCCACCGGGCCTGTTGGAGCTGGTGGGGGGTAGGGGAGATAACACAGTGCCGGTTCAGAGCATGGGCTCTGCTGGTGAGCCTACCCGCCTCTGTCGCCAGTTTGGCACTCCCTACATGTGGCATGTCTCGGTGCCTGCCTCTTGGGGCTGCAGGCAAGCTTGGATGAGATCAGGTGTTTGGGTGCTTAGCAGTATGTCTGGCACCTGGTAAGTGGTCTATAGATGATAGCTATCATTAAGAGGAGCATTGAGGGGGCTGCTGGAGAGAAAGGACAGTCTCTGGAGGGATTCCAGGTATTTGTGAGGATGGCTTAGGAGAAGCTTGATCTCCCGGAAGGCAGATCTGGCCAGAATGCAAGAAGATGTAGGGTAGAGATAAGCCCCCCTCCCCCCACCCCGGGGATTTTTAGATCTTCATTCTTTGGTTGCAGATTAACCAAAGAGGGTCAGAAAGGGTGTGGGAAGGGGCTGACAGATTTTAGAATGGATAGGATGTATTTCTGTTGGTAAAAGAGACCCAGAATACCAGACTGAAGTAAACTATGAACATGGAACATGTGATTTCCAAAAACTGCTCAACTTTGTTCCCGGCCTGTCTATCCAGGATAACTCAACGCAATCTCAGTTCCCCATATTTTTAGGTAATTGGACTAAACTTGTATGTGGGGAAGGTGTTTATAGGCATTATTATTATTATTTCTAAGGATGAAAGGGCACATGAATGGGGAGGGGATGCAGCCAGAAGTTTGAGTCTAATTTTCTTTTTCATTGTTTTTTAAGTTTACTCATTTGAGAGAGAGAGAGAGGGAATGCGCAGGGGAGGGACAGAAAGAGAAACTCCAAAGCAGGCTCTGCAGTGCTGTCAGCACAGAGCCAGATGCGGGGCTCAAACCCATGAACCATGAAATCATGACCTGAGCCGAAATCAAGAGTCAGATGCCTAACTGACTGAGCCACGCAGGCACGCTGAGTCTCACATCTCAACCTTGGAAGTAGATTGAGGCTTGGCTTTGGGGTCGTGGCTGGGGTCATGGCTCAAATTTGGGGGCAGCCATCCTTTGCTCCGAGGGGAAGTGTGCGGAGTTCTTCTCTTAGGCCCGTCACGAGGCATGGGGACTGCACTCAAACTTCCTCTAATGTCAGTCCGGCAACCAGCCTTTGGGGCACCCTGCGCAATCTCCCTGCCTTTCTTGTTGGGGGTGGGGGGGGAGTGGGGCTAGGGTGGGGCCTGGAGGACAGAGGCTCGTGCATTCCTTCTCAGCCTCCGCCCTGTCCTCAGCTAATTTCCTCAGGGCTAGGTTCCCTAGGGCTGCAGAAACTGCACCCAGTGGACTGTCATTTCTTCTGGGCCCTCAGTCCTGGAGCAGCGCTGACAAAGGAGATTCCTGAGAGAGCGCCTTCTTATCACAGAAAGTGCTGAGCCAAGAGCTCCTAGCTGCCCCCTTTTGCAGATGTGAAAGCCAGTGAACCTTAGACTCAGACAGTTGCTTAACCCTCCTCTCTCCCTCCCTCCTCCTGTCTTGACCTCTCGATTTGATTTAAATCCATAAGCATTTGCCTGGCCTTTCCTCTTAGTGCTGGCTGAAAAGGAGGAGTGGTCAGACCACAGTTCCTGGAGGCTGTGGCTCTGGGACTGCGGGACTGCCACAGCGGGAATCTGCTGGAACCCAGGTTCCGGGAGTGAGTGTGCTTCCCCCCTCCCCTCTGCGTCCCCTTCCCCTCATCCTCCCCTCCCCCACCCTCTGTGCTGCTCTGCACTGTCCAATCACTTCCTCTCCCCAGTGCCCCAGGCCCTAGCTCCTCTCCACTTGCCTGGCCAACCTCTCCTCTCTCCCTCCCCGCTGTCTCCCACTCTGCGGTGCGCTGGGCACCTGCTGCCGCTTTAGCTACTTGCCTCAGCTTTGGGTCTTTGGGTCCCAGCTCTCCAGCTGCAACTCCCAGGTTGGGGAGCCATCATCAGCTGCCTCCAGTCATCTCTAGGTTGGATCACGCTTCTCTCATTCATTCATCAGCCTTTCTGGGTGATGCTCCTATGCTGACATGGGGGATCGGACAGCAGGAGGCTGGAGCACTAGGGCCTGGAGAGATGTCTGGGAAGGAAAAGAGGAGAATAATCCGTCGTCTTTCTTTCAGGGAGGAGTGGGACTGCTTGGGCTCTGCTAGGGCAGCAGACTTCGCCTTGGGCTGGTTAAGAGATGCTCCCAGAGCAGGGCGGGTTGTTGTAGGTTTCCGGGAGGAGGTCCCTGAAGCCTTTAGGTTTGCCAGAGTCCGTGCCCTTGGGGAGGAGAGAATTTTGTGAGGGCAACTACAGAGAGGCTGCTGCAAGGTTGGTTCCTAATGTTGCAGCTCAGCACAGGGAACAGGTGAGACTGGAATTTGAAGGGAGGCAGGCTTTTTTGGTGGTGAGACTGAAATAAAAACCAGGCTCAAATCAGGATGGTTATACCTGGATAGCACCAAATTGCCTCATGTCCCAGCAGACTCAGATAGAACCTTTTCTATTTTGGAAATCTGGTGGGCAGCACCGTCCTAATGAGGAGAGATGCTGCTTTCTCTCTAGGGAATGAGTGCTTTCTCTTAAAACTTCCACTTGGAAGTTGTTTTAAGGAGGCAGTTGGAGAAGAAGAGGTTAATGGGAGGTGCAAGGCCAGAGTGAGCTCTCTGAGATGGTGGACCAGATGTTGCCCATGTTGACCTCTCTAGGCAAGAGTTTTATGTAATTGCCAGCCGCCTGATATATATCTTCATCTTTCTTCCTTAGAGGGCAATGCCAAACAGCTGGTGACGGCTTTCTTCTCCTTCCACCATGGCTGACGACACTAAATATGAAGTGGCCTCCCAGCAAGAAGGGAGTGCTTCCCCTTTGGCCGACGAAGCCACCCCAGGGTCTGAGCAGGTAAAGCTGAAGAAGGAGATCTCCCTGCTTAATGGCGTGTGCCTGATTGTGGGGAACATGATCGGCTCGGGCATCTTTGTCTCCCCCAAGGGCGTGCTCATGTACAGTGCCTCTTTTGGCCTCTCCCTGGTCATCTGGGCTGTTGGGGGCCTCTTCTCCGTCTTTGGGGCCCTTTGTTATGCGGAATTGGGCACCACCATTAAGAAATCTGGAGCCAGCTATGCCTACATCCTCGAGGCCTTTGGGGGATTTCTTGCCTTCATCCGACTGTGGACCTCGCTCCTCATCATTGAGCCCACCAGCCAGGCCATCATTGCCATCACCTTTGCCAACTACATGGTGCAGCCCATCTTCCCAAGCTGCTTTGCCCCGTATGCTGCTGGGCGCCTGCTGGCCGCTGCCTGTATCTGTAAGTGGGGCCAGGGCAGGAGGTGTGGGCTGGAGCAGCCGGGCAGAAGCTGGGATGTGAGTCCTGTAAGCCAGTGAGAAGGAGCTGGAAGGGAATGTCTCTGACAGACACTTTTGTTTTTATGTTGTTAAAAAAAAAAAAAGGTTTTATTTTTAAGTAATCTCTACACCCAACACGGGGCTTGAATTTACAACTCCTAGATCAAGAGTTGTATGCTCTGGGGCGCCTGGGTGGCTTAGTCGGTTAAAGCGTCCGACTTTGGCTCAGGTCATAATCTCATGGTTCATGGGTTTGAGCCCCACATCGGGCTCTGTGCTGACAGCTCAGAGCCTGGAGCCTGCTTCTGATTCTGTGTCTCCCTCTCTCTCTGCCCCTCCCACACTCATGCTCTGTGTCTTTCTATCTTAAAAATGAATAAATGTTAAAAAAAAAAAAAAAAGAGTTGTATGCTCTGCTGACTGAGCCAGCCAGGTGCCCCCTCCTGTTTTTAAGTTAGTGTGGGCTTCATGTGAAAAGTCAAATGGTAGCAATGTGTAAAAACAAGCAACGATAAAGAGAACACTTTACCTCTCCCCCATTTTCTCACGAGAGCCCCATTAGCAGTTTGATTGCCCTTCCTGACTTTTTCTTGTTCCTTCAAGAAGTGTAGTTAATAAAATGTAGTTTTGTTCTGTTTTTATTATTTTTTAAGGTTTATTTTGAGAGAGTTGTTCTGCTTTTAAAACATGGGATCATAGTACACACATAATTCCACGTTTGTGCTTTATTCCCAGAATTTACCAGTGACATTTCCTACTTAGAGTCTACTTAAAAAAAATTCATGTTATTCCATGTTAATTTGAAGGATGTATTGTTTATTTAACAAATCGGTCCTCTCTTAGTGGCCTTTTAAGCCAGTTCTAGTTTGTTCATTATATGGGTAATGCGCCACTGAATATCTTACTGTATTTGCATGAGGTTTTCTGTGGGTTAGTTTCTTAAAACTGTCGTTTCAGTCTACCCTGACTTTTGCTGTCTCATAAATAACATCTTTAAACCTATACATTCAACAAAGCCACTTTGGAGGTCTTGAGAAGCTGATCGTCTACAGCCCCATCCCTCCCCAGTGCCTCTGTTCTGGAAAAATGCCCTCCTAGCCTAAAACCTTGGAGACCCTTTCTACACACCAGTTGTGGAGAAGCTCGGAAATTCTGCCGTTTTCAGGGGCAACTCCCCCAGCAGGAGCGGCTGTGGAGTGTGGGCATTTTGTACCAGGCACAGTTGCTCCCTGCATCAGTCCTCTCCAGGCAGCCTCAGGGCCCCTTTTCTCAAGGTTTCTCCACTGCCCCGTCTTATTCCTCAGCTTCCTCTCCAGCCTCCCCACTTTGACCGTTGTGCAGACTCCTGGATGTCTGTGTGGGATCCCCGTGTGCTTTATGTGTCCATGCTTGTGGCTCGGACGCCTATTTGTATATGGAGATGTTTGCCATGCATGGTAACTATGGGGGAGGGGGGAAGCACTGTCTCTTGTTACCAGAAGGAGGTTTTCCCTTGAGGTCTCAAATGTGATCTGTAATTTCTCTTGTATCATTTAGAGATGATCTGGTACGCTGAGTTACTGGAGAAACTAATTTTAGGATCTGTCAGGGTTTTTTTTTTTTTTAATGTTTTATTTATTTTTGAGAGAGAGATAGAGACAGCGTGAGCAGGGAAGGGTCAGAGAGAGAGGGAGACAGAGAATCCGAAGACAGCCTCCAGGCTCTGAGCTAGCTGTCAGTACAGAGCCTGATGCGGGGCTCGAACCCACAAACTGTGAGATCATGACCTGAGCTGAAGTCAGACGCTTAGCCGACTGAGCCACCCAGGTGCTCTCCGGTGTGGGCATACGGTTACATATCTTGTGTGGTGTAAGGATGATTCCATCTAAGTAAAATTTCCAAGATGGCTGCATCCCTTTAAGTAGTAGAATCCTAATATTTTAACCATCTCTGTTGAAATCTCTTTAAAACCAATGATATGTTTGCCTGCCTTCATAACTTGACATTTCTTTTGGTGACTCAGTCACCACTACACATATCAATTTTTGTAGGACTATGAGGCCTTCCCAGGCCACTGGGGCGGGGATGAGTGTTGACTTCCTCAGGAGCTTCTTTAAGAAGTTCAGCAGGTTTTATTCTTTATGAGTTTGATCTGTGCTGTCTCTGACAGCTCTTGTTCCTTGACTCTGGCCTTGGGCCTGCCTCCATCAGTCACCCCTTTTTAACTTGCTGTGTCTAATTGGGGAACAGAGGTGTCTTCAAACTCTTCTACAGCTGGGTGCCCATACACAGGCAGCTACACCCTTGTAAAGATACATGCGAAGTAGCCACAATTATGATTTGTCTGCAGAGCTCCCCAGTTAATAAAAGATACAGTTTGGTGCACGGATTTATGGCATATATATGATGTAATTCTGATGAAGTGACAGGTGCACCAGACTTGTGTTTGAGGCTGCGTTACCCTAGGCAGGGCACAGTAACTGTTTTACTTCTGGGCTACTGTGCGGATGGAATGAGATTCAGCGAAAACCATAAATCATGACTCAGGTGTAAGGTATCGGTGATTATTATGTTTAAAATTACTCTCTCTCGGCTGCTTCCAGGACTTTGTTCTGTCTTTAATTACTTCAGAGGGACCTAGAGATCTGGAAGAAGGTTCAAAAGGGCAACCAAGATTGTAATTAAGAATTTAGGGGCGTATGATTCATGAGTTTCTTCCTTCAACTATTGTCTAATGAGCACCCAATTTATGGACATTCTGTCCGTATACTACCAATGCAGTAATATCTTGTTTAGCTTAAGATCTTGTTTCTTCTTGAGTCGTGATTTATGGTTTTCACAGCCTCACTCCATCCAGATGGTGGCCTGGAAGTAAACCATCCCTGCACTTGCCCAGTGTCCCACAGCCACTGAGCCCTCCCTCAGGCACAGGTCTGGTGCTCCTCCCACTCCACCAGAGCTGTCAAATAGATGCCAAAAATGTATGCACAAAGTGAGGCCTGAGGCTGAATCTCTGAATTTAGTGAGAGAAGGGATTCAATATAGAACTTTCATTCAGGGAACATTTAGGGCATTCTCCACGCTAGCTATTCCAGTTAGTGCTGGGAAGCAAAGAAGAGTAACCTATGGATTTTGCCATCCAAGAACTCCTAGTCGAGGAGGGAGACAGATATGTTAACCAATAATTGTCATGCAATATAGGAAATGTGGTGATAGAGGCACCATAGGAGAAAGCAGGACAATTTTCTTCATTTGGGGGAAGAGGGCTTAGGAGGATGTCACAGAGACCATGATGTCTAAACTGAATTTTGGAAAGATATGTAACTGTCTTCTGGGACACGTCTCACTGAGGGAACTGTGTGTGAAAAGGTGTGGCGGTGCAGACAGGCGTGGAATGTTTAGAGAATTCCAGGTGGTTGGTATGGCTGGAATGCGGGGGGGGGGGGGGGGGGAGGAGAGGGTGAGAAGGTAGAGACTGGAAATGTAGCCCAAGGCCAGCTCCAAGACTGGTTTATTTGTCTAAACAGGTTACACTTTATCTGGAAAGTGGGAAGCTGTTGATTTTAAGTGGAGAAGTGAAATCAGATTTGCCTGGAAGAAGAACCCTGGGGCCAGGTGGAGTGGTTTTGGCAAGTGTGAGAGTCAGAAGGTAGGCTTACTAGGTTAAGGCACTGACACCCGAGTCCACTTGAAGGCTGGTGAGGCCTGCTCTGGGGGCAAGGCCTTTGGACCAGAGATGGGGTGGATAAAAAAGTAGTGATAAGGTAGGATTTCTAGGACTTCTGGATGGGTGTGTGTGTGTGGGGATGTTCTCAGAGGTGATGCTAAGAATTCAAGCTTGGGCAAGTGGGCAGCGATGGGGCCTCCATCGGAAATAGGGAAGGTGAGCTGAGCGATGCGAGAGGTGCATCTGGAGGCTCTGCTGGGCTGCTTATGTGGCCTTCCCGTGAGCAGCGCCTTCCTTGGGTCATCATGACCCAGATGATGTCCCATCAACTGAGTCATACTTAAAAAAGAGACTGATGTGTAAATGATGATGGCAGCCTAGGAATGTACGATGGTGAGCATATATGTGTAACTTCTAATGACCACAAGGCGTGTAGTCACTATCACGGCTTCCTAATGCCGTAGTCCCTAGGAAGCCCTTCGAGTAATCAGGGAATTGCTCTCAGGGCATGAATCAGAGCAAAGGAAGACAGCTTTGACTACTGGAGAAAAATTTACTGAACGTGATGGGTTTTATAAAATACAGAGCTGAAAGGTAGAGCAGGGAACTCACGGTGTGGTGGAGACCGGCAGGAGTAGTTAATTATACACTTCATAATAAGTATGAGTGCTGGGAGCGGGTGGGGTGTGCCTTCCTCAGGAGATGGCTGCGCTCAACACTGAAGGATGAAATGGCATCAAGGGGTGGCCGAAGCGCCCACTTGCGGAGGCCGACAAGGTGTGCTCCATCTGGCTTCTCTCAGACCCTCTCTCCCCCTCACTCTCTCTGTGTGGCTACACCAACCTTCTTGCCTTTCCTCCAGTTTGCCGGCCTGTTCCTGCTTCGGGGGTTTTGTACTTTAATCATTCCTTCTGCTGGGAAGGCTCTTTCCCCAGAAGCCCTCCGAGCTTATCCCCTCAGTCCATTTGGGCCTTTGTACAGATATTCCCTCGCCAGAGACTTCTCCTGTCTATAATGGTCACTCTCAGTTTCCCATCCTGTTTTGTTTTTCTTTAGAGCACTGTCACCGCCTGACATGAATTATTTACTTCTTTGTTGTCTCTCTTTCCCTCTAGAGTGTAAACACCATGAGAGTAAGCACTTTGTTTTGCTCACTGCTGAATCTCCAGCACCTAGCACAGTGCATGGCATCTGCTAGGTACTCAATAAATATGTTGAATGAAGAAGGGGCAAGGACATTCTAGGCACAGAGAAAGGCAACGTAAAGCACAAAGGTGGGAAAAGAATGGGATGCGGGGTGCGCGGGGGCGATTGTG